CTTTATAGGTAAGGCATCACCTCATAGATGAGGTATTACTTTATAGGTAAGGTATCACCTCATAGATGAGGTACTACTTTATAGGTAAGGCATTCCTTCATAGATGAGGTATTACTTTATAGGTAAGGCATCACCTCATAGATGAGGTATTACTTTATAGGTAAGGCATTCCTTCATAGATGAGGTATTACTTTATAGGTAAGGCATCTTTACCTCACCTCATAGATGAGGTATTACTTTATAGGTAAGGCATCACCTCATAGATGAGGTATTACTTTATAGGTAAGGCATCACCTCATAGATGAGGTACTACTTTATAGGTAAGGCATCACCTCATAGATGAGGTATTACTTTATAGGTAAGGCATCACCTCATAGATGAGGTATTACTTTATAGGTAAGGCATCACCTCATAGATGAGGTATTACTTTATAGGTAAGGCATCACCTCATAGATGAGGTATTACTTTATAGGTAAGGCATCACCTCATAGATGAGGTATTACTTTATAGGTAAGGTATCACCTCATAGATGAGGTACTACTTTATAGGTAAGGCATTCCTTCATAGATGAGGTATTACTTTATAGGTAAGGCATCACCTCATAGATGAGGTATTACTTTATAGGTAAGGTATCACCTCATAGATGAGGTATTACTTTATAGGTAAGGCATCACCTTCATAGATGAGGTATTACTTTATAGGTAAGGCATCACCTCATAGATGAGGTATTACTTTATAGGTAAGGCATTCCTTCATAGATGAGGTATTACTTTATAGGTAAGGCATCACCTCATAGATGAGGTATTACTTTATAGGTAAGGCATCACCTCATAGATGAGGTATTACTTTATAGGTAAGGCATCACCTCATAGATGAGGTATTACTTTATAGGTAAGGCATCACCTCATAGATGAGGTATTACTTTATAGGTAAGGCATCACCTCATAGATGAGGTATTACTTTATAGGTAAGGCATCACCTCATAGATGAGGTACTACTTTATAGGTAAGGCATTCCTTCATAGATGAGGTATTACTTCATAGGTAAGGCATCACCTCATAGATGAGGTATTACTTTATAGGTAAGGCATCACCTCATAGATGAGGTATTACTTTATAGGTAAGGCATCACCTCATAGATGAGGTATTACTTTATAGGTAAGGCATCACCTCATAGATGAGGTATTACTTTATAGGTAAGGCATTCCTTCATAGGCATGAGGTATTACTTTATAGGTAAGGCATCACCTCACCTCATAGATGAGGTGAGGTATTACTTTATAGGTAAGGCATCACCTCATAGATGAGGTATTACTTTATAGGTAAGGCATCACCTCATAGATGAGGTATTACTTTATGGGTAAGGCATCACCTCATAGATGAGGTATTACTTTATAGGTAAGGCATCACCTCATAGATGAGGTATTACTTTATAGGTAAGGCATCACCTCATAGATGAGGTATTACTTTATAGGTAAGGCATCACCTCATAGATGAGGTATTACTTTATAGGTAAGGCATCACCTCATAGATGAGTTATTACTTAATAGGTAAGGTATCACCTGATAGATGAGGTACTACTTTATAGGTAAGGCATTACTTCATAGATGAGGTATTACTTTATAGGTAAGGCATCACCTCATAGATGAGGTATTACTTTATAGGTAAGGCATCACCTCATAGATGAGGTATTACTTTATAGGTAAGGCATCACCTCATAGATGAGGTATTACTTTATAGGTAAGGCATCACCTCATAGATGAGGCATTACTTTATAGGTAAGGCATCACCTCATAGATGAGGTATTACTTTATAGGTAAGGCATCACCTCATAGATGAGGTATTACTTTATAGGTAAGGCATCACCTCATAGATGAGGTATTACTTTATAGGTAAGGCATCACCTCATAGATGAGGTATTACTTTATAGGTAAGGCATCACCTCATAGATGAGGTATTACTTTATAGGTAAGGCATCACCTCATAGATGAGGTATTACTTTATAGGTAAGGCATCACCTCATAGATGAGGTATTACTTTATAGGTAAGGCATCACCTCATAGATGAGGTATTACTTTATAGGTAAGGCATCACCTCATAGATGAGGTATTACATTATAGGTAAGGCATCACCTCATAGATGAGGTATTACTTTATAGGTAAGGTATCACCTCATAGATGAGGTACTACTTTATAGGTAAGGCATTACTTCATAGATGAGGTATTACTTTATAGGTAAGGCATCACCTCATAGATGAGGTATTACTTTATAGGTAAGGCATCACCTCATAGATGAGGTATTACTTTATAGGTAAGGCATCACCTCATAGATGAGGTATTACTTTATAGGTAAGGCATCACCTCATAGATGAGGTATTACTTTATAGGTAAGGCATCACCTCATAGATGAGGTATTACTTTATAGGTAAGGCATCACCTTCATAGATGAGGTATTACTTTATAGGTAAGGCATCACCTCATAGATGAGGTATTACTTTATAGGTAAGGCATCACCTCATAGATGAGGTATTACTTTATAGGTAAGGCATCACCTCATAGATGAGGTATTACTTTATAGGTAAGGCATCACCTCATAGATGAGGTACTACTTTATAGGTAAGGCATTCCTTCATAGATGAGGTATTACTTTATAGGTAAGGCATCACCTCATAGATGAGGTATTACTTTATAGGTAAGGCATCACCTCATAGATGAGGTATTACTTTATAGGTAAGGCATCACCTCATAGATGAGGTATTACTTTATAGGTAAGGCATCACCTCATAGATGAGGTATTACTTTATAGGTAAGGCATCACCTCATAGATGAGGTATTACTTTATAGGTAGGGCATCACCTCATAGATGAGGTATTACTTTATAGGTAAGGCATCACCTCATAGATGAGGCATTACTTTATAGGTAAGGCATCACCTCATAGATGAGGTATTACTTTATAGGTAAGGCATTCCTTCATAGATGAGGTATTACTTTATAGGTAAGGCATCACCTCATAGATGAGGTATTACTTTATAGGTAAGGCATCACCTCATAGATGAGGTATTACTTTATAGGTAAGGCATCACCTCATAGATGAGGCATTACTTTAGATAGGTATAGGTAAGGCATCACCTCATAGATGAGGTATTACTTTATAGGTAAGGCATCACCTCATAGATGAGGTATTACTTTATAGGTAAGGCATCACCTCATAGATGAGGTATTACTTTATAGGTAAGGCATCACCTCATAGATGAGTTATTACTTAATAGGTAAGGTATCACCTGATAGATGAGGTACTACTTTATAGGTAAGGCATTACTTCATAGATGAGGTATTACTTTATAGGTAAGGCATCACCTCATAGATGAGGTATTACTTTATAGGTAAGGCATCACCTCATAGATGAGGTATTACATTATAGGTAAGGCATCACATCATAGATGAGGTATTACTTTATAGGTAAGGTATCACCTCATAGATGAGGTACTACTTTATAGGTAAGGCATTCCTTCATAGATGAGGTATTACTTTATAGGTAAGGCATCACCTCATAGATGAGGTATTACTTTATAGGTAAGGCATCACCTCATAGATGAGGTATTACTTTATAGGTAAGGCATCACCTCATAGATGAGGTATTACTTTATAGGTAAGGCATCACCTCATAGATGAGTTATTACTTAATAGGTAAGGTATCACCTGATAGATGAGGTACTACTTTATAGGTAAGGCATTACTTCATAGATGAGGTATTACTTTATAGGTAAGGCATCACCTCATAGATGAGGTATTACTTTATAGGTATCACCTCATAGATGAGGTATTACATTATAGGTAAGGCATCACATCATAGATGAGGTATTACTTTATAGGTAAGGTATCACCTCATAGATGAGGTACTACTTTATAGGTAAGGCATTCCTTCATAGAGGAGGTATTACTTTATAGGTAAGGCATCACCTCATAGATGAGGTATTACTTTATAGGTAAGGCATCACCTCATAGATGAGGTATTACTTTATAGGTAAGGCATCACCTCATAGATGAGGTATTACATTATAGGTAAGGCATCACCTCATAGACGAGGTACTACTTTATAGGTAAGGCATTCCTTCATAGATGAGGTACTTCTTTATAGGTAAGGCATCACCTCATAGATGAGGTATTACTTTATAGGTAAGGCATCACCTCATAGATGAGGTATTACTTTATAGGTAAGGCATCACCTCATAGATGAGGTATTACTTTATGGGTAAGGCATCACCTCATAGATGAGGTATTACTTTATAGGTAAGGCATCACCTCATAGATGAGGTATTACTTTATAGGTAAGGTATCACCTCATAGATGAGGTACTACTTTATAGGTAAGGCATTCCTTCATAGATGAGGTATTACTTTATAGGTAAGGCATCACCTCATAGATGAGGTATTACTTTAAAGGTAAGGCACCACCTCATAGATGAGGTATTACTTTATAGGTAAGGTATCACCTCATAGATGAGGTATTACTTTATAGGTAAGGCATCACCTCATAGATGAGGTATTACTTTATAGGTAAGGCATCACCTCATAGATGAGTTATTACTTTATAGGTAAGGCATCACCTCATAGATGAGGTATTACTTTATAGGTAAGGCATTCCTTCATAGATGAGGTATTACTTTATAGGTAAGGCATCACCTCATAGAGGAGGTATTACTTTATAGGTAAGGCACCACCTCATAGATGAGTTATTACTTTATAGGTAAGGTATCACCTCATAGATGAGGTATTACTTTATAGGTAAGGCATCACCTCATAGATGAGGTATTACTTTATAGGTAAGGCATCACCTCAGTACTCTGATGATCTAACAGTGTGGTGATGATATCTGGAGATCTAACAGTGTGGTGATGATATCTGATGATCTAACAGTGTGGTGATGATATCTGATGATCTAACAGTGTGATGATGACATCTGATGATCTAACAGTGTCTTCTCTTCTTCCTCTGAATGCAGGTCCTGCTGGTGTTGGTTGCAATGAACTGAAGCGTCGTCTGAAGGCCAGCAACCCTGTCCGTTTCCTTGAGGCTGTGCCATGTATGTACACCTTGCTTCTCTATCCACTTCCTTGAAGCTGTGCCATATATGTACACCTTGCTTCTCTATCCACTTCCTTGAGGCTGTGCCATGTATGTACACCTTGCTTCTCTATCCACTTCCTTGAGGCTGTGCCATGTATGTACACCTTGCTTCTCTATCCACTTCCTTGAGGCTGTGCCATGTATGTACACCTTGCTTCTCTGTCCACTTCCTTGAAGCTGTGCCATGTATGTACACCTTGCTTCTCAGTCCACTTCCTTGAGGCTGTGCCATGTACGTCCTTGAGGCTGTGCCATGTATGTACACCTTGCTTCTCTGTCCACTTCCTTGAGGCTGTGCCATGTATGTACACCTTGCTTCTCTGTCCACTTCCTTGAGGCTGTGCCATGTATGTACACCTTGCTTCTCTGTCCACTTCCTTGAGGCTGTGCCATGTATGTACACCTTGCTTCTCTGTCCACTTCCTTGAGGCGGTGCCATGTATGTACACCTTGCTTCTCTTGTAAACATGATTTAGTTCCGAGTAGTAAATGTTCCGGTTCGGAATAAATGCCGTGAAACTGAGAATGGTTGACACGAATAAAAATTCCGCACATACGGCAAATATTCCATCGAACAGGAACAAATACCGTAGGCCTAACCTATTCCAGTCATTATTGAATGCAAAATGGACTCATCCAACTTGTCAACTAACTTCAACTTGATTACATGTTGACTGTAGCCTGGCTACTAACTGTAACTTGGTTACATGCTGACTGTAACTTGGCTACTGACTAACTGTAACTTGGTTACATGTTGACTGTAACCTGGCTACTGACTGTAACTTGGTTACATGTCGACTGTAACCTGGCTACTGACTACCTGTAACTTGGTTACATGCTGACTGTAACTTGGCTACTGACTAACTGTAACTTGGTTACATGTTGACTGTAACCACCTGGCTACTGACTGTAACTTGGTTAACTTGGTTATGTGACTGTAACTTGGCTACTGTAACCATGGCTACTGACTGACTGTACTTGTTACATGTCGACTGTAACCTTGACTAACTGTAACTTGGTTGCATGTTGACTGTAATCTGGCTACTGACTAACTGTAACTAGGTTACATGTTCACTAACCTGGCTACTGACTGACTGTAACTTGGTTACATGTTGACTGTAATCTGGCTACTGACTGACTGTTAATTGTTACATGTTGACTGTAACCTGGCTACTGACTGACTGTTAATTGGTTACATGTTGACTGTAACCTGGCTACTGCTTGGTAACATGTTGACTGTAACCTGACTGACTAACTGTAACTTGGTTACATGTTGACTGTAACCTAGCTACTGACTAACTCTAACTTGGTTATATATTGAATGTAACCTGGCTACTGACCAACTGTAACTTGGTCACATAATGACTGTAACCTGGCTACTGACTGACTGTAACCTGGTTACATGTTGACTGTAACCTGGCTACTGACTCTAACCTGATTAATGAAGGTAACTTGGTTACATAATAACTGAACTCTTTTTAACACAAGATTCATTTAGAATCATCCGTCCGAATTCTGGGGAATGTACGATGTATTTTCATTAAAAAAAATAAGTAACTTTCACACATGATAATTGCTTCTTGATAGCCACATGATTTGGTCCATATGGAACAAATACCGTAGGAAAATCTTTTTTTCCTTTCCGTTCTCCCCATGCCCCAATTTTTAAGATCACCCCAACAAACAAAACCCTCTTTTAGACACTTTATGATGTCTCTGGAAGTTCCTCTTTACCCGGAATAAATTCTGTGTGTGCGGAACGAAATAATTGTTCCGCATGCACTATTACAGGAACAAATGTTGGAATGAAAAGTTCCGCCGGAACTTTTACTATGGGGAACCAAATCTTTTTTACACTCTGTCCACTTCCTTGAGGCTGTGCCATGTATGTACACCTTGCTTCTCTGTCCACTTCCTTGAGGCTGTGCCATGTATGTACACCTTGCTTCTCTGTCCACTTCCTTGAGGCTGTGCCATGTATGTACACCTTGCTTCTCTGTCCACTTCCTTGAGGCTGTGCCATGTATGTACACCTTGCTTCTCTGTCCACTTCCTTGAGGCTGTGCCATGTATGTACACCTTGCTTCTCTGTCCACTTCCTTGAGGCTGTGCCATGTATGTACACCTTGCTTCTCTGTCCACTTCCTTGAGGCTGTGCCATGTATGTACACCTTGCTTCTCTGTCCACTTCCTTGAGGCGTGCCATGTATGTACACCTTGCTTCTCTGTCCACTTCCTTGAGGCTGTGCCATGTATGTACACCTTGCTTCTCTGTCCACTTCCTTGAGGCGGTGCCATGTATGTACACCTTGCTTCTCTGTCCACTTCCTTGAGGCTGTGCCATGTATGTACACCTTGCTTCTCTGTCCACTTCCTTGAGGCTGTGCCATGTATGTACACCTTGCTTCTCTGTCCACTTCCTTGAGGCTGTGCCATGTATGTACACCTTGCTTCTCTGTCCAATTCCTTGAGGCTGTACCATGTATGTACACCTTGCCTCTCTGTCCACTTCCTTGAGGCTGTGCCATGTATGTACACCTTGCTTCTCTGTCCACTTCCTTGAGGCTGTGCCATGTATGTACACCTTGCCTCTCTGTCCACTTTCTTGAGGCTGTGCCATATATGTACACCTCGCCTCTCTGTCCACTTCCTTGAGGCTGTGCCATGTATGTACACCTTGCCTCTCTGTCCACTTCCTTGAGGCTGTGCCATGTATGTACACCTTGCTTCTCTATCCACTTCCTTGAGGCTGTGCCATGTATGTACACCTTGCCTTTCTTGTGTACAATTAATCTGGAAACTGGATATGTAGGTGATCAGAATGAAATGTGTATTGTTTTGTCCAGACTCAATTGTTTTCAGACCACCATCACAGAACAACAACTACTCTATTGCATTTCATGAGAGAATGGGAATATATTCCAGACACATCAAGGCCAAAGAAGCCGTTTGAGCAAGACGGCAAAGAGTACCATTTTGTGACTCGGGAAGAGATGGAGTCTGGCATCATGGCGCAAAGGTCAGTTGGTGATGAGGCAAGTCACAGCTCAAAGGTCATGTAAGTAACTCAAGCCATCAGTATGTATGTTGTGAACTGTAGGAGGCTCTCCAACACTTGTGGACACTGTAGTCATGTATTTACACCTCACCAACACTAGTTGACTGTCTAGTGATGTATTTACACCTGACCAACACTAGTTGACTGTCTAGTGATGTAATTACACCTGACCAACACTAGTGGACTGTCTAGTGATGTATTTACACCTGACCAACACTAGTGGACTATCTAGTGATGTATTTACACCTGACCAACACTAGTGGACTGTCTAGTGATGTATTTACACCTGACCAACACTAGTGGACTGTCTAGTGATGTATTTACACCTGACCAACACTAGTGGACTGTCTAGTGATGTATTTACACCTGACCAACACGAGTGGACTGTCTAGTGATGTAATTACACCTGACCAACACTAGTGGACTGTCTAGTGATGTATTTACACCTGACCAACACTAGTGGACACTGTAGTCATGTATTTACACCTGACCAACACTAGTGGACTGTCTAATGATGTATTTACACCTGACCAACACTAGTGGACTGTCTAGTGATGTATTTACACCTGACCAACACTAGTGGACTATCTAGTGATGTATTTACACCTGACCAACACTAGTGGACTGTCTAGTGATGTATTTACACCTGACCAACACTAGTGGACTGTCTAGTGATGTATTTACACCTTACCAACACTAGTGGACTGTCTAGTGATGTATTTACACCTGACCAACACTAGTGGACTATCTAGTGATGTATTTACACCTGACCAACACTAGTGGACTGTCTAGTGATGTATTTACACCTGACCAACACTAGTGGACTGTCTAGTGATGTAATTACACCTGACCAACACTAACCCTGAGGATGATTTTTATTCTGATGAGATACCACAGTTAGATCATATCATTTATATGTCTACAGTTGTGTATGACACTGAAAAACTCTGCCTTTGTGTAGATCTAATGATTCAATAGTGTGTTGCACATGCATATTATGTATGTTGTAAAGTGTTTATAATGTATTAATGATACAGAAATGATGTATTAGAGTTTTGTGCAGCAATGTATGTGGTGACATGTAGCGACCTCTGTAGTGATAATGTGATGTTTGTTGGAAATTCTTAAGCGATCTCTGTAGTGATGTGTTTAGTGATGTGTTTAGTGATGTGTTTATGATGTGTTTATTGATGTGTGTAGTGATGTGTTTATTGATGTGTGTAGTGATGTGTGTAGTGATGTGTGTAGTGATGTGTGTAGTGATGTGTGTAGTGATGTGTTGATTGATGTGTGTAGTGATGTGTGTAGTGATGTGTGTATTGATGTGTTTATTGATGTGTTTATTGATGTGTTTGTGTAGTGATGTGTTTAGTTGATGTGTTTAGTGATGTGTTTATTGATGTGATGTGTGTATGATGTGTGTAGTGATGTGTGTAGTGATGTGTTTAGTGATGTGTGTAGTGATGTGTGTTGATGTGATGTGTGTATGTGATGTGTGTTAGTGATGATTGATGTGTGATGATGATGTGTGATGTGTGTTAGTGATGTGTGTAGTGATGTGTTTAGTGATGTGTGTAGTGATGTGTTTAGTGATGTGTTTAGTGATGTGTGTAGTGATGTGTGTTAGTGATGTGTTTATTGATGTGTGTAGTGATGTGTTTAGTGATGTGTGTAGTGATGATGTGTGATAGTGATGAGTGATGTGTGTAGTGATGTGTTTAGTGATGGTATGTGTAGTGAGTGATGTGTAGTGATGTGTTTAGTGATGTGTGTAGTGATGTGTTTATTGATGTGTGTAGTGATGTGTGTATGATGTGTTTAGTGATGTGTGTAGTGATGTGTTTGTAGTGATGTGTGTAGTGATGTGTTTAGTGATGTGTGTAGTGATGTGTTTAGTGATGTGTGTAGTGATGTGTTTAGTGATGTGTTTAGTGATGTGTGTAGTGATGTGTTTATGTGGTGATGTGTTTAGTGATGTGTGTAGTGATGTGTTTAGTGATGTGTGTAGTGATGTGTGTAGTGATGTGTGTATTGATGTGTGTAGTGATGTGTGTAGTGATGTGTGTAGTGATGTGTGTAGTGATGTGTGTTTAGTGATGAGTGTAGTGATGTGTGTAGTGATGTGTTTATTGATGTGTGTAGTGATGTGTTTAGTGATGTGTGTAGTGATGTGTTTAGTGATGTGTGTGTGATGATGTGTGAGTGATGTGTGATGTGTATGTGATGATGTGTGTGAGTGATGTGTGTAGTGATGTGTGTAGTGATGTGTGTAGTGATGTGTGTAGTGATGTGTGTAGTGATGTGTGTTGATGTGTGTTTAGTGATGTGTGTTAGTGATGTGTGTAGTGATGTGTGTAGTGATGTGTGTAGTGATGTGTTTAGTGATGTGTGTAGTGATGTGTAGTGATGATGTGTGTAGTGATGTGTGTATTGATGTGTTAATTGTAGTGTGATGTGTGTTAGTGATGTGTGTAGTGATGTGTGTTAGTGTGTGTGTAGTGATGTGTGTAGTGAGTGATGATGTGTGTAGTGATGTGTGTAGTGATGTGTGTAGTGATGTGTTTAGTGATGTGTGTGTAGTGATGTGTTTAGTGATGTGTGTGAGTGATGATGTGTAGTGATGTGTGTAGTGATGTGTGTTTAGTGATGTGTGATGTGTAGTGATGTAGTGAGTGATGTGTTTAGTGATGTGTGTAGTGATGTGTTTAGTGATGTGTGTAGTGTAGATGATGATGTGTAGTGATGTGTTTAGTGATGTGTGTAGTGATGTGTTTAGTGATGTGTGTGTGATGTGTAGTGATGTGTGTAGTGATGTGTGTAGTGATTTGTGATGTGTGATGTGTAGTGATGTGTTTAGTGATGTGTGTGTGTGTTTAGTGATGTGTGTTAGTGATGTGTGTAGTGATGTGTGTAGTGATGTGTTTAGTGATGTGTGTAGTGATGTGTTTAGTGATGTGTGTAGTGATGTGTTTATTGATGTGTGTAGTGATGTGTTTAGTGATGTGTTTAGTGTAGTGATGTAGTGATGTCTGTAGTGATGTGTTTAGTGATGTTTAGTGATGTGTGTAGTGATGTGTGTAGTGATGTGTTTAGTGATGTAGTGATGTGTGTAGTGATGTTTAGTGATGTGTTTAGTGATGTAGTGATGTGTTTAGTGATGTGTGTAGTGATGTGCTTAGTGATGTCTGTAGTGATGTGTTTATTGATATGTTTAGTAATGTGTGTAGTGATGTAATGTGATGTGTTTAGTGATGTGTGTAGTGATGTGTGTAGTGATGTGTGTAGTGATGTGTTTAGTGATGTGTTTAGTGATGTATGTACTGATATATATCTTGATGTATGCATTCATGTATGTAGTCACACATAGCTAACGCTTAGAGTAGACACTTATAATTAGTGCCTGGAGTATTTTAGCGCTTTATAAATTCACTCATTATTATTATTATGTATGTCGACACACATATCTTGATGTATGCTGTGATGCATGCTGTGATGTAATGTGACCTACTTGTCCAGGTTTGCAGAGTATGGGGAGTACAAGGGCAACTTGTATGGGACGAGTGTGGAATCCATCAAGGCGATCATCACCATGGGCAAGGTGTGCCTGGTCACCCCCCATACACAGGTGAGACTGAAGGTGGGGCCTATATACAGGTGAGACTGAAGGTGTGCCTGGTCACCCCCGATACACAGGTGAGACTGAAGGTGGGGCCTATATACAGGTGAAACTGAAGGTGTGCCTGGTCACCCCCGATACGCAGGTGAGACTGAAGGTGGGGCCTATATACAGGTGAGACTGAAGGTGTGACCTATATACAGGTGAGACTGGAGGTGTGCCTGGTCAACCCCATACACAGGTGTGACTGGAGGTGTGCCTGGTTACCCCCCATACACAGGTGAGACTGGAGGTGTGCCTGGTTACCCCCCATACACAGGTGAGACTGGAGGTGTGCCTGGTTACCCCCCATACACAGGTGAGACTGGAGGTGTGCCTGGTTACCCCCCATACACAGGTGAGACTGGAGGTGTGCCTGGTCATCGCCCATGCACAGGTGAGACTGGAGGTGTGCCTGGCTACCCCCCCTTCACGGGTGAGACCGAAGGTGTGGCCTATATACCGGTGAGACTGGACGTGTGCCTGGTCATCCCCCATACACAGGTGAGACTGGAGGTGTGCCTGGTCAGCCCCCATACACAGGTGAGACTGGAGGTGTGGCATACATACACAGGTGAGACTGGAGGGGAGCCTGGTTACCCCCCATACACGGGTGAGACCAAAGGTGTGGCCTATATACAGGTGAGACTGGACTTGTGCCTGGTCAGCCCCCATACACAGGTGAGACTGGAGGTGTTCCTGGTTACCCCCCATACACAGGTGAGACTGGAGGTGTGCCTGGTTACCCCCCATACACAGGTGAGACTGAAGGTGTGGCATACATACAGGTGAGACTGGAGGGGAGCCTGGTCACTCCCCATACACGGGTGAGACTGGAGGTGTAATATACATACAGGTGGGACTAGAGATGTGGCATACATACAGGTGTGACTGCAGGTGTGCCTGGTGACTCCGCATACACGGGTGAGACTGGAGGTGTGGCATACATACAGGTGAGACTGGAGGTGTGGCATACATACAGGTGAGACTGAAAGTGTGGCATACATGCAGGTGAGACTGGAGGGGAGCCTGGTCACTCCCCATGCACAGGTGAGACTGGAGGTGTAATATACATACAGGTGGGACTAGAGATGTGGCATACACACAGGTGTGACTGCTGGTGTGCCTGGTCACTCCCCATACACAGGTGAGACTGGAGGTGTGGCATACATACAGGTGAGACTGAAAGTGTGGCATACATGCAGGTGGGACTGGAGGTGTGGTATACATACAGGTGGGACTAGAGGTGTGGTATACATACAGGTGTGACTGGAGCTGGTCACCCCCTATACACGGGTGAGACTGAAGATTCGGTGTACACAGAGGTGAGACTGAAAATATATTTTCTTGTCCCTCTTGTGTTAGGCCATGCACTCATTCAGTAGTTCATGTTTTTTTGTTTTTGCACACTTGACCTCCAGGCCCTGAAGTTCCTGCGTCAAGCCGACATCAAGCCTTTCATCATCTTCATCAAGCCCCCTTCCCTGGAGATGCTTCAGGCCACCCGTGGAGCCATGAAGGCTCGTGTCACTAAAGACGGAGATGTGACACAACCCTTCACAGTGAGATTAAGTGTTAGATCGTCTACATGTTGATATTTTTATACTTCATCCTTTTCTTTTGAGCACAGTTCAGCCTTATTAATGAAAATGTAAGATCGTCTTCACATATTGATCTTTTCACAGCCTTTACTTTGAACACTGTTGACTTTTATTTACCCTAGTTAAGATGCCTGCATTGACATTTTCAATAAGCACCTAACACTTTTGAGCACTGTCTATATGGAATTAGGTGTAAGATCGTCTTCAGTAGTCGTATAAGAAATGTACCCAGATTATTCCTGTCTATGAGATTTTCTGTCCATAAGACTTTCCGTAACATGATTGACATCTTTTAATATTGAGCACGATTGATTCTTATTTATAAAATTAAGGGTAAGAATTGAATATGTTGATTTTTTCAAATATTCAATAATTGCTGTTTTGAGCATAGGTTATTTATTATGACATACTGGATGTCTTGTTGCTACTAGCAACGTTATATGTGGGCTGTGTTGGCAGACATTCTATATCTAGACGATATAAACCCCACTCTCCGATACATTCATACACCACTTGGCTGTCTTCACATACCACTTGGCTGTCTTCACATACCGCTTGGATGTCTTCACATACCACTTGGCTGTCTTTACATACCACTTGGCTGTCTTCACATACCACTTGACTGTCTTCACATACCACTTGACTGTCTTCACATACCACTTGACTGTCTTCACATACAACTTGACTGTCTTTACATACCACTTGACTGTCTTCACATACCACTTGACTGTCTTCACATACCACTGAACTGTCTTCACATACATACACATACCACTTGACTGTCTTCACATATTCACTACCACTTGACTGTCTTCACATACCACTTGACTGTCTTCACATACCACTTGACTGTCTTCACATACCACTTGACTGCATTCACATTGACTGTCTTTATATCACTTGACTGTCTTCACATACCACTGAACTGTCTTCACATACCACTGACTTTCACTGTCTTCACATATTCACATATCACTGACAGTCTTCACATACCACTGAACTGTCTTCACATGTCACTGACTGTTTCACATATCACTTGACTGTCTTCACATACCACTTGACTGTCTTCACATACCACTTGATTGTCTTCACATACCACTTGATTGTCTTCACATACCACTTGACTGTCTTCACATCATATCACTTGACTGTCTTCACATCATATCACTTGACTGTCTTCACATATCACTTGACTGTCTTCACATACCACTGAACTGTCTTCACATGTCACTTGACTGTCTTCACATGTCACTTGACTGTTCACATATCACTTGACTGTCTTTACATACCACTTGACTGTCTTCACATATCACTTGATTGTCTTCACATACCACTTGACTGTCTTCACATGCATATCACTTGACTGTCTTCACATCATATCACTTGACTGTCTTCACATACATGTCTCTTCACATTGACTGTCTTCACATACCACTTGACTGTCTTCACATACCACTTGACTGTCTTCACATACCACTTGACTGTCTTCACATACCACTTGACTGTCTTCACATACCACTTGACTGTCTTCACCACTGAACTGTCTTCACATACCACTTGACTGTCTTTACATACCACTGAACTGTCTTCACATATCACTTGACTGTCTTCACATATCACTTGACTGTCTTCACCACTGAACTGTCTTCACATACCACTTGACTGTCTTTACATACCACTGAACTGTCTTCACATATCACTTGACTGTCTGCACATCATATCACTTGACAGTCTTCACATCATATCACTTGACTGTCTTCACATATCACTTGACTGTCTTCACATATCACCTGACTGTCTTCACATATCACTTGACTGTCTTCACATACCATCGACTGTCTTCACATATCAGTTGACTGTCTGCACATATCACTTGACTCTCTTCACATACCATTGACTGTCTTCACATATCACTTGACTGTCTTCACATATCACTTGACTGTCTTCACATAGCATTGACTGTCTTCACATGCCACTTGGCTGTCTGCACATATCACTTGACTCTCTTCACATACCATTGACTGTCTTCACATACCACTTGACTCTCTTCACATACCACTTGACTCTCTTCACATACCATTGACTGTCTTCACATATCTCTTGATTGTCTTCACATATCACTTGACTGTCTTCACATACCACTTGACATGCGTAAGATATACATTTTCTGGTGTCCAACATGTGTCGTCTGGAATATCACATAACATGGCTTTGCAAAAGAGGGCTGGCACGATCTCAGCAAGTTACTGATAATACTCAAGATTTGGAAAGATGAAACTGTTCTGGTGTTTCTTTCAAATAAATTCCTTCAGCATGATTTCATGTGGAATATTTAGCAATCTTATTTGAATCAGTTTTATAATCTTTTGCAGCAAGAGGAACTGCAAGCAATGGTGGAATCTTCGGACAAGATAGAAGAGCGATTTGGACATTTGTTTGACCATGTGATAGTAAATGATAACATAAGCAATGCATCTGCTGACTTAATACGAACAGCTGCAAGAATCGAATCAGAGCCACACTGGGTACCCATTGGTTGGTCAGGACAGTGACAGAACCCCTCTGGTCACTGGAGACAAGCCGTCTGGCAAGGTGTCACATTGTCAAGAACTTTGTCAATGCTCTTCTGAAGGTGACATTGCTCTTGACTTAAGAACTGACAGTTCTCTAAACTCAAGAACCCAGTTAATTTGCTTCAGATGGTGAGGATAGCCCTTGTGTCAGGAATTGTGGTCTATGAGGGAGATTTGTATGACGAGAACATTGTGTCATTGGTCTTCATGAGGGCAGGGCTGCTCATGACTCCAGAACCAGCAGCAATATACTTCAGAACTGTGTCAGTGCTCTTCAGGAACTTATTTATGACATTCTGACAAATGGTGCAGGAAATGAGAGACAGTTTGGCTAGGATAGGGCATATTTCAAGACTCTTGCAAGCACTGGGGATTATCCTTCTGTATATGGAGTTAAGAGGGACATAAGCAAACAGGCAGGACAGTGACAGAGATTGAAAGGCTACAGGCTTGAGGCAAATGAACAGGATTGTTGGTGACTTCAGGCAAATGAACATGGTTGTTAGAGACTTCAGGCAAATGAACAGGTTTGTTGGAGACTTCAGGCAAATGAACAGGTTTGTTGGAGACTTCAGGCAAATAGACAGAGACAGGATTGTTAGAGACTTCAGGCAAATGAACAGAATTGTTGGAGACTTCAGGCAAATAGACAGAGACAGGATTGTTAGAGACTTCAGGCAAATGAACATGGTTGTTAGAGACTTCAGGCAAATGAACAGGTTTGTTGGAGACTTCAGGCAAATGAACAGGATTGTTGGAGACTTCAGGCAAATGAACATGGTTGTTAGAGACTTCAGGCAAATGAACAGGGTTGTTGGAGACTTCAGGCAAATGAACAGAATTGTTGGAGACTTCAGGCAAATAGACAGAGACAGGATTGTTAGAGACTTCAGGCAAATGAACAGGTTTGTTGGAGACTTCAGGCAAATGAACAGGTTTGTTGGAGACTTCAGGCAAATGACACATGGATTGTTAGAGACTTCAGGCAAATGAACATGGTTGTTAGAGACTTCAGGCAAATGAACAGGTTTGTTGGAGACTTCAGGCAAATGAACAGAATTGTTGGAGACTTCAGGCAAATGAACAGGTTTGTTGGAGACTTCAGGCAAATGAACATGGTTGTTAGAGACTTCAGGCAAATGAACAGAATTGTTGGAGACTTCAGGCAAATAGACAGAGACAGGATTGTTAGAGACTTCAGGCAAATGAACAGGTTTGTTGGAGACTTCAGGCAAATGAACAGAATTGTTGGAGACTTCAGGCAAATGAACAGAATTGTTGGAGACTTCAGGCAAATGAACATGGTTGTTAGAGACTTCAGGCATGTTTGTATGCAGAAGCAGGGAAATGACATGGTGCTACAGAGATTGGAGGGATGAGGGAGAATGGTGATCTCCTTGGAAGTACAGAGCCACACAATTCCTTGGCTAATGATGCTGCACCTCAACACTGAAGACCATTTTTTCCCCCTGAATTAACATTAGCTTCACAGTCTCTTCCTCTTGGACAAGGCATAAAAATGTTCCGGAAAGGAAACATTGTTCTGTAATTATTCTCAAAAGCCTTTTCAATGGCGATGATATCAGGGACATGTTGACAGATGCAACGGAGCGGGGTCAAGGGCTACCATATCGATCATACTTCAACTGTATTGTGTTTGACAGATACAATAGAGCAGGTTCAAATGTTTGACAGATGCAATGAAGTGTGTTCAAGTGTTTGACAGATGCAATGGAGTGTGTTCAAGTGTTTGACAGATTCAATGGAGCGGGTTCAAAGGGTTCCATTGTGATCATACATTCAACTGTATTGTGTTTGACAGATGCAATGGAATGGGCTCAAATGTTTGACAGATGCAATGGAGCAAGTTCAAATTTTTGACAGATGCAGTGGAGCGGGTTCAAATGTTTGACAGATGCAATGGAGCAGGTTCAAATTTTTGACAGATGCAGTGGAGCGGGTTCAAAGGGTTCCATTGTGATCGTACTTCCAACTGTGTTGTGTTTGACAGATGCAATGGAACTTGCTCAAGAACTACTGCTGGATAATTGTTTTGGGGATCTATGGGTGTTTTTGTAAACATTTGTGCTGCAATAATTCCATTATGTTCGAGTACATTATTTTTACATGAGAGAAAAAATATTTCATTTTTGACATTGAAGAGTATGACTGGAGTGGAAGTATGTGTATTTGACGACAATGTTATCAGGGTGCTCCATTCTCTGCATGAACCCTGTGACTGAGTGGTAATGGGTGGATGGGGAGGGGGTTGATACGTGAAAACAGAACTGAACAGGTTGAGTATGTTGTCACCGTTAGTAAAGACAATCTTCAAATGCCTACAGGTAATAATAGTAGCTTCCTGGGGGCTATCACAAATTAAGCAACATAAATCTGTTTTCAGAGATTGAGAGGCGGTGAACAAAGTTATAATGTCTGTCAATACTAGTTACAAGGCCATTGTAAAACCCTTCTGTACTGCTACCTTCTGTAAATAAACATGTAATGTACTCTAGAACACATGGACAGTAAATGTTCAGTGTTTGTAGACAGAGCTTATGAAGATTACGTACATATTGTCCAGAAGTTGTTAAGGGGGTGCTGATTGAATTGGGTACTTGACATGGAAAATAGATTGATCTAATTTGGATGTTCTCCTAAACGTGACAACAATCTAACCTGCTCATCCTTCTGTTGGTAGCAACAAGTGTTTCCTGTGTGTATGTTGAAGACATGGTCACACATGGAGTCGATATCTCCAACACAGTTTTAGTTATATTACTATTAGTTTGTTTCTGTGTCGCTGTAAGACCTAAACCTTCTAACACATAGCCCAATGTTCGGAGTGCTGCCATAGAATGGTCAGAGTTGTTTCCATGGAACCTTCTAACACATAGCCCAATGTTCGGAGTGCTGCCATAGAATGGTCAGAGTTGTTTCCATGGAACCTTCTAACACATAGCCCAATGTTCGGAGTGCTGCCATAGAATGGTCAAAGTTGTTTCCATGGAACCTTCTAACACATAGCCCAATGTTTGGAGTGCTGCCATAGAATGGTCAGAGTTGTTTCCAGGGAACCCAGAGGTATCATTAGGGCTTGATGGTTTTACTTTTCCAATGTTTTTTAAGTTTTTCTTGTTAAAATGGATGTACTTCAGTACACAAAACTGGTTTCACAGAGGTATTCCTGCAGTGGAAGTTCAATATGTCTGATTCCATCTTGTTCTGGGTGTGGTGTTGAGGTTAATTCTACTCTATTTATACTTGTACAGGAGAAAGTGGCAATGTCCCTCTTTAGACTTGAACTTATGGCTGTCTTACATCGTATACGCTGATAGAAAAAAGTAATTGTGCTTCATATGAAAAGTTCAATGGAAATATGTCTTCTGAAATTAAAATCATTTAATACACATTAAAGAAAACATCTTGACTTTAAGGTCATGATTTACAATTTACACACACAAAATTATCAAATGCAATGCATACAGCTAAATGTATGTATTGTATGTAGCTTGACAAACACACATGTGAACTGAGCGCAGGTGCTTATATCAGGGGCTTATAAAACATGTTTGTGTGAATAACACTCACACAATGCCAAGGCTTGAATGGTGCACACTTGCACTACAACAGCTCCTGAGATCGACTCAGGATCATGTTCTACTCTTCTATGTAGTAGTGGCCAGTGGGGCGCAGTGGGCGAGCTAATGGTGCACACTTGCACTACAACAGCTCCTGAGATCGACTCAGGATCATGTTCTACTCTTCTATGTTGTAGTGGCCAGTGGGGCGCGGTGGGCGAGCTAATGGTGCACACTTGCACTACAACAGCTCCTGAGATCGACTCAGGATCATGTTCTACTCTTCTATGTAGTAGTGGCCAGTGGGGCGCGGTGGGCGAGCTGGCTAAGGAGCCAGGTTAGTGATCCAGCGAGGTTGAGGTGCCGGGATCGAGCCCACCTATGACCGGATGTAAAAAACCTTGGAGTCAACTTTGTGTGCAGACTCTTTCAGTGTTGTCACAATCCCTAGTGTACAGTACACAACCCTGTGCACTTAAAAGAACCCACGAATCTGTTGGTATATGACCAGATGGTGGCCACATGAATACGTGCAAACACCTAGTTACGGGTACAGCAATGTGCAGTAAAACCTTGGATAAAGTACTGTGACTATGTGTCCCAGTCCACCCAGCTGTGAATGGGTACGTCGTAAGGATGAGAAAGCCACAATAACTCGGTGCGCCTAGTGGCTTCAAGAGTTGTATACTCCCCAGGGAGTTGAGATTGATAATACGATGTGCCGTTGAGATTGACATTAAATGATCGAGGTAAAAATACCAGCGCGCCTTGAGCATGGACTAGTTGCCTGGATATGTGCGCTATATATAAATATCCTATAAGATATGTAAATGTAGGCTTGTGGCATCATGTTTGGACAATGTCCGCCCACACATTGCACTCCTTGTGGCAGACTTTCTCGGGCAGTGTACTGTTACTGTGCTGCCATGGCCAGCTATGTGTCCAGACCTCTCCTGGTGTTGAGGATGAGATGGGGGGGAGGCTGACGACAGGACCAGAACCAGCAATAAACGCCAGTTACTTTGTTTGAGATTTGGAAGAATCAATCAACTGGTGTTTTCAGTTTGTAGCTGATACGGTGTGCCTGTGTCAACACAAATGGTGATCACACCATATACTGACATTGTGAATGACACCACGGCCCTTAAGGGCACATCTCTCTTGTTACCAAGAAAGGTTTTTTGTTAATGGTGAGTGAGTGAGTATAGTTTTATGCAGCTTTTAGCAATATTCCATCAATATCACTATGGGGACACCACAAATGGGCTTCACATATACAACACATATGAAACACAGTCATTGTTTTTCTGTCAGCATACAAGACACTTTAAATAATGCGTGGTTGTAAGTGGAAACAGAATCAAGGTGAAGGTCAGTCCCAGTCTAGTGGTTTCCTTTGTTCAAATATAACAGTATATTTACGAGGGCAAACATTTACCAACAAGCACTTTCGGTGTTATGCTGAGTTTCAACCTCCTCCTGAATGACATAAGTTCACGGAACTGAGGAATAGAAATCTGTGGCTAGTTTAATCTTGACTTCCTGGTACAATAATATTTGGTGTGTCATATATTGGAGTATTTTCTATTGAACATTGTACATGTACTTCCATGTATTGCTCATCTTCTCTCAATCATGTCAGGATCTGGAGATGATCTGGATTAAAGAATTGTTGACATGTCAAATCTTCTTGTGTCTTGTCACTGGGTTAGTGAGTTGGGCCAACTTTTAACAATGACCCGGTTTTCCACAGGTCTGTGGGGACCCTGGTAAGAATGTGTCCCAGCACCATGGTTTAATTGTAAATTATGAACCGGGTTAACTTGGCTTCCAGGCTAGAACCGGTCCCTAAATAGCCACCTTGGTGGTGCCATGATGGATTAGGTTGTCAGACTCCTGTGGATCAGCAAGTACGGATTAGAACCAAATCCAAGAGAGCTGATAGTCCAAGGATCAGTGGACAGACAAGGAACCTGCATAGAGAAATGTACTATGCCATGAGGTGGATTAGGTTGTCAGACTCCTGTTCCTCCCTGGATCAGTACGGATTAGAACCAAATCCAAGAGAGCTGATAGTCCAAGGATCAGTGGACAGACAAGGAACCTGCATAGAGAAATGTACTATGGTATACACAGGTGTTCCTCCCTGGTGATTGTGTGAGGAGTGGCATGTACACAGTGGAGGACAATGGTACACACAGGTGTTCCTCCCTGGTGATTGTGTGAGGAGTGGCATGTACACAGTGGAGGACAATGGTACACACAGGTGTTCCTCCCTGGTGATTGTGTGAGGAGTGGCATGTACACAGTGGAGGACAATGTACACACAGGTGTTCCTCCCTGGTGATTGTGTGAGGAGTGGCATGTACACAGTGGAGGACAATGTACACACAGGTGTTCCTCCTGGTGATTGTGTGAGGTGTTCCTCCCTGGTGATTGTGTGAGGAGTGGCATGTACACAGTGGAGGACAATGTACACACAGGTGTTCCTCCCTGGTGATTGTGTGAGGAGTGGCATGTACACAGTGGAGGACAATGTACACACAGGTGTTCCTCCCACAGTGAGGACAATGTACACAGTGGAGGACAATGGTACACAGGTGTTCCTCCCTGGTGATTGTGTGAGGAGTGGCATGTACACAGTGGAGGACAATGTACACACAGGTGTTCCTCCCTGGTGATTGTGTGAGGAGTGGCATGTACACAGTGGAGGACAATGTACACCTCCCCTGGTGATTGTGTGTGGTGAGTGTGACAATGTGGAGGGACAATGTACACACAGGTGTTCCTCCCTGGTGATTGTGTGAGGAGTGGCATGTACACAGTGGAGGACAATGTACACACAGGTGTTCCTCCCTGGTGATTGTGTGAGGAGTGGCATGTACACAGTGGAGGACAATGTACACACAGGTGTTCCTCCCTGGTGATTGAACACCTGTGGCATGTACACAGTGGAGGACAATGTACACATGTGTGTGTCACTCTTCACACAATCACAAGGGTGGCATGTAGGAACACATTGACATGGTACATAGTTACATTAACATAGGACAATTGGGTGTTTCAATGTGATTGTGTGAGGAGTGACATCTGGAGACCAATGGGAGGAACATGCTAAAATGAAATGATCAAGTCTGTTTACATCAGACAATCCTGAGGTGGTCTTGTGATTTGATACCATACTTGACTGACCTATCAGAACTGAGTACTTTCCAAGGTGTCTGTGATTTGATACCTCTGACTGACCAATCTGATCTGTGATTTGATACCTCTGACTGATCAATCTGAACAGTACTTTCTGAGGTGGTCTGTGATTTGATACCTCTGACTGACCAATCTGATCTGTGATTTGATACCTCTGACTGATCAATCTGAACTGAGATGGTCTGTGATTTGATACCTCTGACTTACCAATCTGAACTGAGTACTTTCTGAGGTGGTCTGTGATTTGATACCTCTGACTGACCAATCTGAACTGAGTATTTTCAAAATTCAAGGTACAATACTGTTTTAACTAACAACATTACCCAGTGTAAGGTTGGAAAATTTTATTCAGATACTAAAATATACAAGACAGAATATATGGCCTATCACAGCAGACAATCAAATACACCTTACTGCAATAAAAAAACATTTAGCCAGGTGAATAATTTTCTTTATTCAACATGGATAGCAAGGCAAAAATTCAAAGCACAACATTAAGTGTAAATTGATGATGTTTTCTGGTCACCAAAATTAAGTTTTAAACATATATTCATTAAAGAATAACAAGTGGTTTAGTTATATCAATTTCGGCCTAACAAAACAACGTTGAAGATGATACCTAAATATACTTTTGCAATGTTTTAATTATTTACTAATATATATGACTCCCTCAGTACACATCTGAACATCAACTCAGAAATATAAAAGTGATACTTCAACATTAACACTTTGCACTAGTTGTACAGTGATATAAAATTTAATCTCGCATGAATATCATACATTTAAACCTCAAACACTGTTGTGGACACAAACTGGTGCTTATCACTTCCTGGAGGCCTTAGAGTTACCTCCCTTGACCATATACCCTGTTGTCAGGAATCTGACCACAAAGCTGGTGTTTGTCTAGAATGTCCTGCATGGAGGGATATCTTAAGTACGTTGGACAGTTCAGTATAGCATACCTAGGGGGATACAATAGAACAAAGTATTGGAATTATTGTGTTGGTTTTAATACATAATTAAAAATTGTAAATACATCTGAATAAAATGTCACTCGTAAAAGTTTTGTGTACATCTAACATGTTTATAAACATTTATAATCCAAGTTGCACAACATAAAATATATCAGAGAATAAAACTGACATACGTTTAAATATTTAATGTAAAGTTTGCAATACTTCACTGACATATTTTATGTGTGTGGAGAAGAAGTTTCAGTTACTGGTAGATTACATTTATATACAGAATGAGTATAATATAATATACCGGTAGTATAATAAAAGTGTCAAAGAAATGAACATGTAACATTAAAACTATGTAAATATTTAAAAAACACACAAATACCCAGTGACAAAACTACACCAAGCACCTGTAAAAAAACACCTTGCCATAACTGTAGCATAACAGTAAACTTTGTCATGCCTTGGGAAATTAAGGTAAGTTTAATATTGCAGGTTTTCTGTTTTAAAACATCAGAGGTAAAGTACATTGGTGAGTAATGACTAATATTTACTATGAGACCTGCTAACGCTGTACAGCCCCTGTAGGTCTAGAAGATTACAATCATAACAAACACTGCCATCATGGACAATAAATCTACGAGACATACCAAGTACTGTCTGGGCATCTTGGGCACTTTGTATATTGAATATGGGCACTTTCGTGTACACGTCACTATTCAGTCTCAAGGCATAACTGAGAAAGCATCTAGAAACAACATATGGAATTTGAAAATTAGTTATTGTTTGAATAGTGTGCATAACACTCACTCCATGAAGGAACAAGACAAAGCTCAAATCAGAATACTTTTAATCTTATTTAGTGCTCATTGTTTGCTGCTGGCAACATCACTGCCCAGTGTTACTGCTGCTGCTGGCAGCTGTAGTTGCCCATTCTAACATACTCATTATATATTACCGGAGCGTACAAATCAGCTTCACCTCTGACCTTGAACCCAATATTCTTTTGTCCTTATTTTAATGTCTCCCTTCTCAGGGCACATATCGTTTTTCTAAAGGATGTGCTTCAATAAACCATCACTAAATATTCTTGTAAAAACGTTTATACACAAAACAGAATTTTTGATTTACTTTCTCCAGGTACTGTGAGCACGCTCAACATAACATTCTTCAACAATTTCCAATTGAGTAAGTGCAGGGGAAAGTGAAAGCACACAATATAAACATCAGTGTACATGTTGAACACAGTAACCATGGTAACAACATGAATGCATTTTGTGAAGAACAGTAACCATATTAAATATACACCAACGCACTTGGTCAAGTTGCACACAGTAACCATGGTAACAATGCCTGTGTCAGTACATAAGAAGCATGTGTTGGTGTGTTTATTCTGAAAATGCAATAGACTTCAAGATAACACACGGGTACAAAATTCAAAATACAAAATCTTGTTTTTCACAAAAAAATATATACTGAAAACTGAATATTTTTTTGTAATGATGGTTACGAAACCGATTGTTTTCTGTTGAGCAATAGCATTTCTGATTGTTAATTTTTCAAACAGTTTGTCAAAAATAATCTTACAAAACAATCTGATCAAAAGTGAATCAGTTCATTCTGGTACAACTCTGTCATCACACGAGTTGGAACCAGACTATTAGTCAAGACATGCTTGCTGTCTTCAACAAATTTGAATTGAAAATTCCAAAAGTGTACCATGGAGGACGATGACATTGACGATAGTCCTTCATTAGATAATAACCCCGAAAGAATTGCGGATTATCTGTCACAAGTGAACTGGTCTTATTGACTTGGTACAGTTTAGATTAGTTCATGACGAGTAGAGTACACAGCTTTGAGTTTCTATATATTAACAACTTCACTAAATGCCAAATGTTTCCCTTAATTTCTTTGATGACACTCCAATAATAACTAGTCCAAAAGAAGTTTAATAAATAAACAACATTTAGTAGAATATATTTTGGTTCCTGATCCTTGCCCCCTGCCCCCTGCCCGACACTCAGACCCCCAAACCCCCTTGAGTAAGAACCTGTCCCTTCACAGGGACAATACCCTGTGAATCCTCGTCACCAGGCAAGAAGGAACAGAGGCCCAGATAAGCTGCGTATCCGGGTAAAATACGCACAGAAAATTTCCAATTACGCATTGAAAAAAAAATTGTTACGTACCAATTAAAATGTTAGATACGCAAAAAGTTTAAAACAATGCGTACGGAATATATTTATAAAAATCACTAGTGTAATGAAAAAGACATTGATTGCTATCAAGTTGTACTGTTAGTATAGGACAAGTGTTGTACTGTCAGTATAGGATGAGTGATTTTTTATTAAATAATTTCCATTATATTTAAGTTGGTTTTGATTAGGTATGACATAAGGCAGAACATACCTGCTTAGTAAACTTGCTCAATGACATACCGTAATACTTAGGTGAGTAAAATGACTGAAATACGCACATATTTGAGAGCAGTGGGTAACGGAAAATGAAACACCCACTCAACATTCATAATACCCACTCCAAAAGAATACAGTGAGTACAGTACCCACATCAGCTAAAACTTATCTGGAGCTCTGAGGAACACATTAAACTCAGTATTAAGTCAGTCAATCTCATGTCTGTTGTTGATAAAACTTCAAAATATACACAGAAGGCCGGCTCCCAACATCTGTAGTTGTTTGGGTCTGTCTCATCAGTAGCCTGGGGGTTGGGGTGGTGGGTAGCCCCCTGGGCCTGTGGGTGGTGGGTACCCTCCTGGGCCTGTGGGTGGTGGGTACCCTCCTGGGCCTGTGGGTGGAGGGTAGGGCCCTGGCTGTGGAGGTGGGTATTCAGTAGACACAGCTGAAACAGCAATCGCAACAGAAATCAGTGACAAATGTGAATGTAATTTGTTTGCTGTTCCTGACATTTCTTCAGTTACACTATTTACTTCTGTTGCTGAATGAGGAAAGTTGTAAGGTGGGAAGCCCATTCAGACAGCAGATATCCTCAGGTAACTTAAATCTGAGCATACAGTAGTCCCAAGGGAAATCTGCAGAATTGAAAAACTATTGATTATGCCAACATTCCAATTAACCCAAACACTAATTTCCTATATTTTAGCTTTTCTATATTTCTTTTTAACTTGAATGATGCTCAAATATATAGCATGTGATTCAGACATACAAAATATGAATCCTACAAGAAAACAAGTTTGAAATGAATATTTCCTACTTGAAAATGTTTTTTGGTACTATTACAATGTAAACTATGTCAAACCATATATACCAGTGACACTTTTTATTTTCATAATTTAACATCTCATCCAAAGATAAATGTTTATGAGGACAGTTTGTGGAACCATATGGTTTGGATGCAGATTGTTTTCATTAAAACTGAGTTAGCATTAATATTGAGGGGGAGATGGTAATGCCTTTACTACAGAACTTAGCAGTATGTAATTTTACCATCTGAAATTTGAAAATTTCATCACAGAATTCGTCTGAAACTGATAAAAGGGGACACAACTCTACACTATGAAGATTAACTGTTGCATTGTCCTGCATGCATCAGGCAATAAGTCTTGCTGGGTGGTGGATTATCCCCTACAAATGTCCACAATAGGAAACATTGGTTTCATTTTAATTGCAATAAATGTTAGTTCCCAAACTTTGGATGTTATCTCTGGGTACCAGTCTAACATACCTTCATAGCCGGGTGAACTTCCCCCATGTTAGTTCCCAAACTTTGGATGTTATCTCTGGGTACCAGTCTAACATACCTTCATAGCCGGGTGGACCTCCCCTATGATAGTTCCCAAACTTTGGATGTTATCTCTGGGTACCAGTCTAACATACCTTCATAGCCGGGTGGACCTCCCCTATGTTAGTTCCCAAACTTTGGATGTTATCTCTGGGTACCAGTCTAACATACCTTCATAGCCGGGTGAACTTCCCCCATGTTAGTTCCCAAACTTTGGATGTTATCTCTGGGTACCAGTCTAACATACCTTCATAGCCGGGTGGACCTCCCCCATGTTAGTTCCCAAACTTTGGATGTTATCTCTGGGTACCAGTCTAACATACCTTCATAGCCGGGTGGACCTCCCCTATGTTAGTTCCCAAACTTTGGATGTTATCTCTGGGTACCAGTCTAACATACCTTCATAGCCGGGTGGACCTCCCCTATGTTAGTTCCCAAACTTTGGATGTTATCTCTGGGTACCAGTCTAACATACCTTCATAGCCGGGTGGACCTCCCCTATGTTAGTTCCCAAACTTTGGATGTTATCTCTGGGTACCAGTCTAACATACCTTCATAGACGGGTGGACCTCCCCTATGTTAGTTCCCAAACTTTGGATGTTATCTCTGGGTACCAGTCTAACATACCTTCATAGCCGGGTGGACCTCCCCCATATCCCCCTGGGGGTGGGTACATGCCGCCATCTGGAGGGGGGTAGCCAGCTGGTTGAGCGGGGTAGGGCATACCTCCGTGACTCACTTCACCCGGGGGTAGGCCAGGTTTTACTTCTGTAAAAATACATTTCATCACCAGAGATTACTAAACAGATAGAACAACTACAAGTTTTTCAAAAAACATAATAAAAACATAAAGACATTTAAAATATTAAAGGCAAGAATGTTATGGATGTCAACTTGTTTATTGTGATGGACACGACGTAAGAATGAAGGAGTAGGAATATATCTCGAAATGTCGGGTCCGTCACAACACAAACGTTGACATCCCTACAGTCTAGCCTTTATTTGTATCACGTCTACATGCCATTCAAAGACTCTATTTAAATATTGTATATTGTTCTCTGTACCAGTGAATGGAATGTGGAATGAGCTGACACAGATGTCTACATGTTGGCGAGCTGGATTGCCAAACGCGTTGCTGTCTGTGCGCACATAAAGGTCAAATACAATGCGTGCCATTAAGTATGCTGCAGAAGATCTAAAATATCATTAAATAAATAAACAATCTTGATTTGAAACCTTGTTAGTGAAATATATAAACTGTATTTAAACAAATAGTGAGCTTGAAAAATGAATAAAATTAAAACTGCTTCTACACACTCACCTACCACAGGCCAGGTGACCTTGTTACCTCCCTTTGTCTGGTAAGTCAGAGTATTCTCTGTATATGCCGTAAGGGCATTCTCTGAACAATGTGCCAAAAACATTATACTTACAATTTTTAGTATGTGGTTTCATAACTAACACTATCTTTACTTGACACCTTAACCAGCGTCCCCAACCCCCACACCAGTTTCATAACTAACACTATCTTTACTTGACACCTTAACCAGCGCCCCCACCCCCACCAGTTTCATAACTAACACAATCTTTACTTGACACCTTAACCAGCTTTACTTGACACCTTCCCCACCCCCACACCAGTTTCATAACTAACACTATCTTTACTCGACACCTTAACCAGCACCCCCACCCCACACCAGTTTCATAACTAACACTATCTTTACTTGACACCTTAACCAGCAGCCCCACACCCACACCAGTTTCATAACTAACACTATCTTTACTTTCGACACCTTAACCAGCGTCCCCACCCCCACACCAGTTTCATAACTAACACTATCTTTACTCGACACCTTAACCAGAGTCCCCACCCCACACCAGTTTCATAACTAACACTATCTTTATTCGACACCTTAACCAGCCCCCCCCCACCCCCACCAGTTTCATAACTAACACTATCTTTACTCGACACCTTAACCAGAGTCCCCACCCCACACCAGTTTCATAACTAACACAATCTTTACTTGACACCTTAACCAGCACCCCCACCCCACACCAGTTTCATAACTAACACTATCTTTACTTTCGACACCTTAACCAGCGTCCCCCACCCCACACCAGTTTCATAACTAACACTATCTTTACTTGACACCTTAACCAGCGTCCCCAACCCCCACACCAGTGTTTGAGAATCTACCTTGCGTAACTTCATATAACTTCTGTAGTTTCTGTGGAAACTTGTCCCCATTGAGCCAGCCATCACCCACCGACTCAACTAACACTGATCAAGGGCCATAACTGTGTATGCTAAAGATCAAAATACATATAAACAACAGGTATTTACAGGATGTCAATTACTGCATCCTATACGCATAAATATTGAGAATGGACGCAACAAAATGTATCAGCGCGTCCACAGGGATGCAGGAAAAGTCCAAATACTCTTTGTAAAAATTCCAATCAAGTGACAATAAGTTATCACTCAGTTTGCTACTAGCCGGGTTATGATATTACTTGCAATTTAATTACTGTAACAGTGTGATACACAATACAATAACAATATTGATAATAATATTTTAGTGTCTGGGACCCCCATTTTGTTGTCCAGGACCCCTGAAAATTAAGGGTATGAGTCCTAAGGACCCTCAAATACAGGACTTCATGTAAATGCCTGAAACAATAAGTCTGCCAACATTTTTTTATCTCTGTCCTGACAAGTATCTCTTATATAAGCATGCTAAATTTCATTAGTTTCTGAGAAAACTTGTTGAAAACCACGAAGTGAGGTCGATGACACAATATAACTTATGTGAGAACTTATGTGACCAGTAACATTTCCAACTTAAGTTTCTAAAACACTAGTTCCCCTTGAGAAGCACAACTCTGTTTCTATATCCCCCCCACTTCCCAGGGGCTTCTTCAGTGGAGCGTGAAGCAAGGCAGGTACGATGATTAAACTGACACTTCATCCACAGAGCGGGCCTGGATACTGATGCAACATTGTTGAAGGACAGGGCATCGTCTTGACCTACATACCACAAACTGAGTCATGGGCTCACTGAGACAACTGAAAGTCTCTATATACTTGTCACTCATGCTCATTGCACACAATGACCGAACTGCTGCTTGAACATTGTCCCCTTCACACTGGAGTAGCCCCAGAATCACATTCAGGGATTATTCCAGAACTCACCTACATACAGTATAAGCTGTGCTCAAGACGGATTACCGCGATTGTCATAATGTTAATGCTATTTCATATTTCTAATGCTAAGCAACCTCGGGCTGAGAAACGAGCATGTTTGTGATCAACCTAACAAAGACTCTGCCTTCTGGCAGGTAACCATGGTGAGGTTGTTACAGGCAGCTGACGAGGTGAAACTGTCATATTGTTACAGGCAACTGACTAGGTGAAACTGTCATATTGTTACAGGCAACTGACTAGGTGAAACTGTCATATTGTTACAGGCAACTGACTTGGTGAAACTGTCATATTGTTACAGGCAACTGACTAGGTGAAACTGTCATATTGTTACAGGCAACTGACTAGGTGAAACTGTCATATTGTTACAGGCAGCTGACTAGGTGAAACTGTCATATTGTTACAGGCAGCTGACTAGGTGAAACTGTCATATTGTTACAGGCAGCTGACTTGGTGAAACTGTCATATTGTTACAGGCAACTGACTAGGTGAAACTGTCATATTGTTACAGGCAACTGACTTGGTGAAACTGTCATATTGTTACAGGCAGCTGACTAGGTGAAACTGTCATATTGTTACAGGCAGCTGACTAGGTGAAACTGTCATATTGTTACAGGCAGCTGACTAGGTGAAACTGTCATATTGTTACAGGCAACTGACTAGGTGAAACTGTCATATTGTTACAGGCAGCTGACTTGGTGAAACTGTCATATTGTTACAGGCAACTGACTAGGTGAAACTGTCATATTGTTACAGGCAACTGACGAGGTGAAACTGTCATATTGTTACAGGCAGCTGACTAGATGAAACTGTCATATTGTTACAGGCAGCTGACTAGGTGAAACTGTCATATTGTTACAGGCAGCTGACTAGGTGAAACTGTCATATTGTTACAGGCAGCTGACTAGGTGAAACTGTCATATTGTTACAGGCAGCTGACTAGGTGAAACTGTCATATTGTTACAGGCAGCTGACTAGGTGAAACTGTCATATTGTTACAGGCAGCTGACTTGGTGAAACTGTCATATTGTTACAGGCAACTGACTAGGTGAAACTGTCATATTGTTACAGGCAGCTGACTAGGTAAAACTGTCATATTGTTGCAGGCAGCTGACTAGGTGAAACTGTCATATTGTTACAGGCAACTGACTAGGTGAAACTGTCATATTGTTACAGGCAACTGACTAGGTGAAACTGTCATATTGTTACAGGCAACTGACTAGGTGAAACTGTCATATTGTTACAGGCAACTGACTAGGTGAAACTGTCATATTGTTACAGGCAGCTGACTAGGCGAAACTGTCATATTGTTACAGGCAGCTGACTTGGTGAAACTGTCATATTGTTACAGGCAGCTGACTTGGTGAAACTGTCATATTGTTACAGGCAACTTAAGAGGGGAAACTGTCATATCGTTACAGGCAGCTGACTAGGTGAAACTGTCATATTGTTACAGGCAGCTGACTAGGTGAAACTGTCATATTGTTACAGGCAACTGACTAGGTGAAACTGTCATATTGTTACAGGCAACTGACTAGGTGAAACTGTCATATTGTTACAGGCAACTGACTAGGTGAAACTGTCATATTGTTACAGGCAGCTGACTTGGTGAAACTGTCATATTGTTACAGGCAGCTGACTAGGTGAAACTGTCATATTGTTACAGGCAACTGACTAGGTGAAACTGTCATATTGTTACAGGCAACTGACTAGGTGAAACTGTCATATTGTTACAGGCAGCTGACTAGGTGAAACTGTCATATTGTTACAGGCAACTGACTTGGTGAAACTGTCATATTGTTACAGGCAGCTGACTTGGTGAAACTGTCATATTGTTACAGGCAGCTGACTAGGTGAAACTGTCATATTGTTACAGGCAGCTGACTAGGTGAAACTGTCATATTGTTACAGGCAACTGACTAGGTGAAACTGTCATATTGTTACAGGCAGCTGACTAGGTGAAACTGTCATATTGTTACAGGCAACTGACTAGGTGAAACTGTCATATTGTTACAGGCAGCTGACTAGGTGAAACTGTCATATTGTTACAGGCAACTGACTTGGTGAAACTGTCATATTGTTACAGGCAGCTGACTTGGTGAAACTGTCATATTGTTACAGGCAGCTGACTAGGTGAAACTGTCATATTGTTACAGGCAGCTGACTAGGTGAAACTGTCATATTGTTACAGGCAGCTGACTTGGTGAAACTGTCATATTGTTACAGGCAGCTGACTAGGTGAAACTGTCATATTGTTACAGGCAGCTGACTAGGTAAAACTGTCATATTGTTACAGGCAGCTGACTAGGTGAAACTGTCATATTGTTACAGGCAGCTGACTAGGTAACGTGCGAACAAACACTTTAACCACTAGGCTACCACCCTAAGCACCCATGGAACGTCACATGACTACTCAGCTTTCTCTGGAGGTACTGATCTGAACTTAAATTGGCAGTAGAAATAACACGTTCGTATTGGCCTATATGTTTTACGATAATCTCAGATTTAATCACAATAATAAATAGAGGATATTTAACCTGAATGTCAACAATCTTCAAACAGTATATGATTTGTTTTCTGAGCTATGTTCATCATAACGCAGGGGATCCGCAAACTCCTTTAAATATGATAGTTAGCGTCCAAACTGTGATTTGTTTCTCTATACATGGGGCTATAGTGAATTGTATTTCTCTATACATGGGGCTATAGTGAATTGTATTTCTCTATACATGGGGCTATAGTGAATTGTATTTCTCTATACATGGGGCTATAGTGAATTGTATTTGTCTATACATGGGGCTATAGTGAATTGTATTTCCCTATACATGGGGAAATAGTGAATCGTAATATTTATTTGTCTATACATGGGGCTATAGTGAATTGTATTTCTCTATACATGGGGCTATAGTGAATTGTATTTCTCTATACATGGGGCTATAGTGAATTGTATTTGTCTATACATGGGGAAATAGTGAATCGTATTTGTCTATACATGGGGCTATAGTGAATTGTATTTCTCTATACATGGGGCTATAGTGAATTGTATTTCTCTATACATGGAGCTATAGTGAATTGTATTTGTCTATACATGGGGCTATAGTGAGTTGTATTTCTCTATACATGGGGCTATAGTGAATTGTATTTCTCTATACATGGGGCTATAGTGAATTGTATTTCTCTATACACGGGGAAATAGTGAATCGTATTTCTCTATACATGGGGCTATAGTGAATTGTATTTCTCTATACATGGGGCTATAGTGAATTGTATTTCTCTATACATGGGGCTATAGTGAATTGTATTTCTCTATACATGGGGCTATAGTGAATTGTATTTCTCTATACATGGAGCTATAGTGAATTGTATTTGTCTATACATGGGGCTATAGTGAGTTGTATTTCTCTATACATGGGGAAATAGTGAATTGTATTTCTGTATACATGGGGCTATAGTGAATTGTATTTCTGTATACATAGGGCTATAGTGAATTGTATTTCTCTATACATGGGGCTATAGTGAATTGTATTTCTGTATACATGGGGCTATAGTGAATTGTATTTCTGTATACATTGGGCTATAGTGTATTGTATTTCATAGTATACATGGGGCTATAGTGAATTGTATTTCTCTATACATGGGGCTATAGTGAATTGTATTTGTTTCTCTATACATGGGGCTATAGTGAATTGTATTTCTCTATACATGGGGAAATAGTGAATCAGTGTATTTGTCTCTATACATGGGGCTATAGTGAATTGTATTTCTCTATACATGGGGCTATAGTGAATTGTATTTCTCTATACATGGAGCTATAGTGAATTGTATTTGTCTATACATGGGGCTATAGTGAGTTGTATTTCTGTATACATGGGGCTATAGTGAATTGTATTTCTCTATACATGGGGCTATAGTGAATTGTATTTCTCTATACATGGGGCTATAGTGAATTGTATTTCTCTATACATGGGGCTATAGTGAATTGTATTTCTCTATACATGGGGCTATAGTGAATTGTATTTCTCTATACATGGGGCTATAGTGAATTGTATTTGTCTATACATGGGGCTATAGTGAATTGTATTTCTCTATACATGGGGCTATAGTGAATTGTATTTCTCTATACATGGGGAAATAGTGAATTGTATTTGTCTATACATGGGGCTATAGTGTGAATTGTATTTCTCTATACATGGGGCTATAGTGAATTGTATTTCTCTATACATGGGGCTATAGTGTAATTGTATTTCTCTATACATGGGGCTATAGTGAATTGTATTTCTCTATACATGGGGCTATAGTGAATTGTATTTCTCTATACATGGGGAAATAGTGAATCAGTTTTGTCTATACATGGGGCTATAGTGAATTGTATTTCTCTATACATGGGGCTATAGTGAATTGTATTTCTCTATACATGGGGCTATGGAGCTATAGTGAATTGTATTTGTCTATACATGGGGCTATAGTGAGTTGTATTTCTCTATACATGGGGCTATAGTGAGTTGTATTTCTCTATACATGGGGCTATAGTGAATTGTATTTCTCTATACATGGGGCTATAGTGAATTGTATTTCTCTATACATGGGGCTATAGTGAATTGTATTTCTCTATACATGGGGCTATAGTGAATTGTATTTGTCTATACATGGGGCTATAGTGAATTGTATTTCTCTATACATGGGGCTATAGTGAATTGTATTTCTGTATACATGGGGCTATAGTGAATTGTATTTCTCTATACATGGGGCTATAGTGAATTGTATTTCTGTATACATGGGGCTATAGTGAATTGTATTTCTCTATACATGGGGCTATAGTGAATTGTATTTGTCTATACATGGGGCTATAGTGAATTGTATTTGTCTATACATGGGGCTATAGTGAATTGTATTTCTCTATACATGGGGCTATAGTGAATTGTATTTCTCTATACATGGGGAAATAGTGAATTGTATTTCTCTATACATGGGGCTATAGTGAATTGTATTTCTCTATACATGGGGCTATAGTGAATTGTATTTCTCTATACATGGGGCTATAGTGAATTGTATTTCTCTATACATGGGGCTATAGTGAATTGTATTTCTCTATACATGGGGCTATAGTGAATTGTATTTGTCTATACATGGGGCTATAGTGAGTTGTATTTCTCTATACATGGGGCTATAGTGAATTGTATTTCTCTTTCTCTATACATGGGGCTATAGTGAATTGTATTTCTCTATACATGGGGCTATACATACATGGGGCTATAGTGAATTGTATTTCTCTATACATGGGGCTATAGTGGACATGGGGCTATAGTGAATTGTATTTCTGTATACATGGGGCTATAGTGAATTGTATTTCTGTATACATGGGGCTATAGTGAATTGTATTTCTCTATACATGGGGCTATAGTGAATTGTATTTGTCTATACATGGGGCTATAGTGAATTGTATTTGTCTATACATGGGGCTATAGTGAATTGTATTTGTCTATACATGGGGCTATAGTGAATTGTATTTGTCTATACATGGGGCTATAGTGAATTGTATTTCTCTATACATGGGGAAATAGTGAATCGTGTATTTATCATACATGGGGCTATAGTGAATTGTATTTCTCTATACATGGGGCTATAGTGAATTGTATTTCTCTATACATGGAGCTATAGTGAATTGTATTTGTCTATACATGGGGCTATAGTGAGTTGTATTTCTCTATACATAGGGGCTATGGTATAGTGAATTGTATTTCTCTATACATGGGGCTATAGTGATTTCTCATTGTATTTCTCTATACATGGGGCTATAGTGAATTGTATTTCTCTATACATGGGGCTATAGTGAATTGTATTTCTCATACATGGGGCTATAGTGAATTGTATTTCTCTATACATGGGGCTATAGTGAATTGTATTTCTCTATACATGGGGAAATAGTGAATTGTATTTGTCTATACATGGGGCTATAGTGAATTGTATTTCTCTATACATGGAGCTATAGTGAATTGTATTTCTCTATACATGGGGCTATAGTGAATTGTATTTGTCTATACATGGGGCTATAGTGAATTGTATTTCTCTATACATGGGGCTATAGTGAATTGTATTTCTCTATACATGGGGAAATAGTGAATCGTATTTGTCTATACATGGGGCTATAGTGAATTGTATTTCTCTATACATGGGGCTATAGTGAATTGTATTTCTCTATACATGGAGCTATAGTGAATTGTATTTGTCTATACATGGAGCTATAGTGAGTTGTATTTCTCTATACATGGGGCTATAGTGAGTTGTATTTCTCTATACATGGGGCTATAGTGAATTGTATTTCTCTATACATGGGGCTATAGTGAATTGTATTTCTCCATACATGGGGCTATAGTGAATTGTATTTCTCTATACATGGGGCTATAGTGAATTGTATTTGTCTATACATGGGGCTATAGTGAATTGTATTTCTCTATACATGGGGCTATAGTGAATTGTATTTCTGTATACATGGGGCTATAGTGAATTGTATTTCTGTATACATGGGGCTATAGTGAATTGTATTTCTCTATACATGGGGCTATAGTGAATTGTATTTCTCTATACATGGGGCTATAGTGAATTGTATTTGTCTATACATGGGGCTATAGTGAATTGTATTTGTCTATACATGGGGCTATAGTGAATTGTATTTCTGTATACATGGGGCTATAGTGAATTGTATTTCTCTATACACGGGGCTATAGTGAATTGTATTTCTCTATACATGGGGCTATAGTGAAACACAATCAGCAGGATACAGTGGGCCTGAAACACAAGCTGGAGAAGTGTGTACTGCTCCATCAGATTCAGACAAAACACAACTGGAAATGAAAAATACTGGATACTCTGACATGGGCATGCTTGGACAACATCAACACCAATACCGACTGGGGCATGCTTGGACAACATCAATACCAACACCAACATCAACATCAACACCAATACCGACTGGGGCATGCTTGGACAACATCAATACCAACATCGACTGGGGCATGCTTTGATAACATCAACATCAACATCAACACCAACACTGACTTAAGCATGCTTGGACAACATCAACACCAACACCAACACCGACATGAGCATGCTTGGACAACAGCAACACCGACTGGTTGTGTGACCTGAAGACTAACGGCTACTTCTAGTGTTGTTCATCATCACCTCAGCTCATGTCACAAACTGATGGTTCACTGTAGTGTCCGTCTAGCTCAACACATGGTGGTGGTAGCGACATTATCACCTCCAAACACAACACAAGTTTGAGTTCGAAATTTTAGCTTTATAAATCTTCAAGTATTCAACAATCTCAACGCATATTGGATGCTTAATAGCTGAAATTAAAATTCACCTTTTCTAACAATTAAATAATGAAACTTTTTGTTCCATCATCTTCAAAAGTAATCAGCATGTTTTTACAGTGAAGTGATGATGCCCAGGGGTCAAACATAAGGGACAAACAGCAGGGAGACACAGGTACTACCTTGAGGTGGGGGGTAGTACCCCATGTGTGGCTGGTCTGGAGGACCTGGCTGCCCTGATGGGGGGATGTAGCCAGGGACAGGGGGATATCCGGACTGGGGTGCAGCTTGACCTGCGATGTCACGAACCACATAAATATCATATCCTACTCCTAAGTCCCAAGTTGAAGTGGGTGAACGAATGTGATATTTGGTAGTAGTTATCTATCACACAGCAACAATATCTAAGGTGGGTATCAGCTGGTCAATGTCACTTTGTGAAGATTTCATTAATATCATGGCAAGTCAGTTTCTTGAGGAAGGGAAATGATTGACCGAGAGTCTTTAGTGAACCCCATGAGTAGTGGTATGGTGATATTAATATTCCTAAAGTCATTCTGAGACTCAAACCCAGTATTGTTGGTTCTGGATTGTCCAAGGGAGGCAACTCTGAGATGATTGCACACCAATGTGTACATAATCGAAACACTATAGCAGAATTCACACAGCTAATTTCCAAGCAACAGAATGTTTTGTCTATGGTTACAAAATGCAAGAGCAATGTATAATATTTTCAGATGTCACCATCAACAGCCCAGTCTGCATTGAACCTCTGATATCACATCCTACACTATGGACTGTACATTGCTAATTATGAACAGACTTCTGTTGTGAAAGGCCAGAAGAGGAAACAAAACATATAATAGAAGCTGCAGCACACTGTGAGGACAGAGTGAACCTGTGAAGATCGGGTTAGAATTGATCTTCAACCAGCCATGTTTGTCGTAAGATTGGGTGGTCAGAGTTGCTGACATGGTCCACACACCATCATATCCCAATTGCGTAGATTAGACTCAATTAGTTACAAGACCACCGTCATACAGCTGGAATATTGCTGAGTGCGGTGTTATACAACAACCAAACCAAGTTGGGAGTGAGGTACAAACCTGCATCGGGGTATCCTGGTGGTGGGCCAGCTGCTGCGGGCGGAGGCTGCACTGGTGCTGCATACGTCATGGTTGGCGCAGGGGCTGAAACACAAATACAGTTGCTGTACTTGCACAGTGTTGCTGTATTATTGTGAGTGTTACAGATTGTTGCTATATTGGTGTTCGTGTTACCTAATGTTGCTTTAATGATGTAAACATTACATAATGTTGTTATGCTGTTGTCTACATAGTGTTGCTATATTATTGCACATGTTACACTGTGCTGCCATATTATTTTAAGTGTTGCTAAATATCGGTACACTGTGGTGTTACATATTGTTAACATAGTACTGTAAATCTGATATAGTGTTACACTGTTTCAAGTGTTATGAACTAACACATCATTATCATAAAGCATCCATTACTGCTTAGTCCTCAACAGACCCCACCAATAAAGACGTGTGTTCCTACACCCTGTATACATACAATGGTCCTCAACAGACCCCACCAATAAAGACGTGTGTTCCTACACCCTGTATACATACAATGGTCCTCAACAGACCCCACCAATAAAGACGTGTGTTCCTACACCCTGTATACATACAATGGTCCTCAACAGACTCCACCAATAACGACGTGTGTTCCTACACCCTGTATACATACAATGGTCCTCAACAGACCCCACCAATAAAGACCTCAACAGACCATACAATGGTCCTCAACAGACCCCACCAATAAAGACGTGTGTTCCTACACCCTGTATACATACAATGGTCCTCAACAGACCCCACCAATAAAGACGTGTGTTCCTACACCCTGTATACATACAATGGTCCTCAACAGACCCCACCAATAAAGACGTGTGTTCCTACACCCTGTATACATACAATGGTCCTCAACAGACACCACCAATAACGACGTGTGTTCCTACACTCTGTATACAATGGTCCTCAAAAGACCCCACCAATAAAGACGTGTGTTCCTACACCCTGTATACATACAATGGTCCTCAACAGACCCCACCAATAACGATGTGTGTTCCAACACTCTGTATACAATGGTCCTCAACAGATCCCACCATAACGACGTGTGTTCCTACACCCTGTATACATACAATGGTCCTCAACAGACCCCACCAATAAAGATGTGTGTTTCTCAATCCTGTAGACAAAACAAGGTAATTTTAGAGATTGGACAGAAATTAGTTTTAGCCACTGGCCGGCTGTGTTTGTATGACTACAAGAAGGAAAGAGAACTTTGAAAGATCCGTTCCTGGATTAGTAAGACAGTCTGACTACAATAGGGCAATAGTCAGAAGCATTAGCTCCAAACATTGTCAGCATATTCACAGATGTGTTAGAATGAATAAATCTAAACAACTTTATGAATTTACACACATTCAGGATAAACAATGTCATCTCTGCCATATACTATCAATAAGACTATGTATGAAACTACTTACTATTTACACCAACAATAATTTTGGCATATCTGATAACATGAAATACGGCATATTACTAAACAAATGAAAATGAACTGTTCCACTTTTTGTCTTTACACAATACAGAATGGCATAACAAGTAGCAGTTCTGATCAGAAGCCGAGACATTAAGAAGCATGTTTAGTGTTCAACACTAACTAATTATTAAGTGTCAATGTTAGTCTAAGTATGTACTTGTGACACAGTGGTTTATGAACATGTTCTGCTTCAGTCCAAACTCTCATACAGGGAAAGATGCTACACTGCTATACATTGTAGCTGTAGCTACTGGAACAGGACAACACTTGGGTCAGTAGACCAAGCAGCAACTAGAACATAAGGTGATGGCTCAGGATTGTCCTCAGCCCAGATATGGACTAAGTGTTCCACCAGCTGTGTCCTCCTGGATATTCAAGCACTACAAGCAGAGACATGCAGCATATGTAGACACGACCACACACATGTTGTGTACTCACAATACTCATTCTTGATGGCTACAACATGCAAATAAACACATACTGAACCAACAAACAAACCACACACTGGGTACAACACTGGGTACAACACTGGGTACAACACTGGTGCCTTGCAGCATGCTACACTAGGAGCAGGAAGGATGCAGCAGCAGGACCTGCCACAACAACTAGCAACACACATCAAGTCTAGTGACTGTTAGCAGTTACAGAGCTAATCTAACTCACTGGACAGAACCCTGATCATAACATGACTGTACAATGGTTGAAAACATATCGGCTTTAAATCTCTGTCTCAGTTACTGTTTCCTATCTTGATAACACTTGTATCTGCACTTAGACGTCACATAATTACAGCAGGGTTTATACAAATCTTTAACACACTTTTAGAAACTCAGGTACAACAAATCTTGATTACATATTTAGAAGAGGTATACTTAAATAAAGTCTCACGAATTTCTTTCAGCAACTCTATTAGAACAAAGTGAAATAAATATCTTTGACAATTCTTCCATTCACATTTAGAACTAGAACAAAGTTTTAGTAACTGTTTGATACAAATATAGAAGTGTTATCACCAGAATACAGAGTACAACACAAGCTATATAGTCAACAGAATCAAGTGTCAACTGAGACAGTGTTAACAATAAGTCAATACTCCAATATTAAAAGTACTGAAATACTGAACACTAAAACAAAGCAAGTAACTGTCGCCAGCCTGGAGCTGTGGGAATGACTGCTCTGTTGCAGAACATTGTCCAACAACAGTGGAATCTCCTATACACTTGGGCCTTATCACATTCAAAGGAGGGATATTATTCTAATGTTTGACAATACCACGGTGTACCTGTAATCATCTGAATCAAATCTCCGGCAATATCACGGCGAGGGACACCAGAAATAGGCTTCACACATTGTGCCCATGTGGGGAATCGAACCCGGGTCTTGAGCATGACGAGCAAAAGTAATATGGCCATAGCTAAGTTTTCATTATGGCTTACAGGGCAGCCAAATTTAACATGGGACTGAAACATCTTGAAAAATATCAGGTTGTCATAAGTAATAGAAACAAAAATGTAAAGTTATATGGTGGTGGGATAAGGTATACAGGTGTTAGATGGGGTGGGATAAGGTATACAGGTGTTAGATGGGGTGGGATAAGGTATACAGGTGTTAGATGGTGGTGGGATAAGGTATACAGGTGTTAGATGGTGGTGGGATAAGGTATACAGGTGTTAGATGGGGTGGGATAAGGTATACAGGTGTTAGATGGTGGTGGGATAAGGTATACAGGTGTTAGATGGGGTGGGATAAGGTATACAGGTGTTAGATGGTGGTGGGATAAGGTATACAGGTGTTAGATGGTGGTGGGATAAGGTATACAGGTGTTAGATATACAGGGTGGGATAAAGTATACAGGTGTTAGATGGGGTGGGATAAGGTATACAGGTGTTAGATGATGGTGGGGTGGGGTATAAGGTATACAGGTGTTAGATGGGGTGGTGGGATAAGGTGTTAGATGGTATATACAGGTGTTAGATGGGGTGGGATAAGGTATACAGGTGTTAGATGGGGTGGGATAAGGTATACAGGTGTTAGATGGTGGTGGGATAAGGTATACAGGTGTTAGATGGGGTGGGATAAGGTATACAGGTGTTAGATGGGGTGGGATAAGGTATACAGGTGTTAGATGGTGGTGGGATAAGGTATACAGGTGTTAGATGGGGTGGGATAAGGTATAAGGTATTGAGGTGTTATACAGAGATGGGGTGGGATAAGGTATACAGGTGTTAGATGGGGTGGGATAAGGTATACAGGTGTTAGATGGGGTGGGATAAGGTATACAGGTGTTAGATGGTGGTGGGATAAGGTATACAGGTGTTAGATGGGTGGGATAAGGTATACAGGTGTTAGATGGGGTGGGATAAGGTATACAGGTGTTAGATGGGGTGGGATAAGGTATACAGGTGTTAGATGGGGTGGGATAAGGTATACAGGTGTTAGATGGTGGTGGGATAAGGTATACAGGTGTTAGATGGGGTGGGATAAGGTATACAGGTGTTAGATGGTGGTGGGATAAAGGTATACAGGTGTTAGATGGGGTGGGATAAGGTATACAGGTGTTAGATGGGGTGGGATAAAAGGTATACAGGTGTTAGATAAGAGTGGGATAAGGTAAAAGGTATACAGGTGTTAGATGGTGGTGGGATAAAGTATATACAGGTGTTAGATGGGGTGGGATAAGGTATACAGGTGTTAGATGGTGGTGGGATAAGGTATACAGGTGTTAGATGGGGGTGGGATAAGGTATACAGGTGTTAGATGGGGTGGGATAAAGGTATACAGGTGTTAGATGGTGTCCCAGGTGGGATAAAGGTATACAGGTGTTAGATGGATGGGATAAAGGTATACAGGTGTTAGATGGTGGGATAAAGGTATACAGGTGTTAGATGGGGTGGGATAAGGTATACAGGTGTTAGATGGTGGTGGGATAAGGTATACAGGTGTTAGATGGGGTGGGATAAAAGGTATACAGGTGTTAGATATGTTAGTGGTGGGATAAAGGTATACAGGTGTTAGATGGTGGTGGGATAAAAGGTATACAGGTGTTAGATGGTGGTGGGATAAGGTATACAGGTGTTAGATGGTGGATGGGATAAGGTATACAGGTGTTAGATAGGGTAGAATAAAAGATATATACAGGTGTTAGATAGGTGGGGGATAAGGTATAAGGTATACAGGTGTTTGGTAGAGGTGGGATAGGTGGTGGGATAAAAGGTATACAGGTGTTAGATGGGGTGGGATAAGGTATACAGGTGTTAGATGGGGTGGGATAAGGTATACAGGTGTTAGATAGGGTGGGATAAATAAGGTATACAGGTGTTAGATAGGTGGTGGGTGGGATAAGAGTATACAGGTGTTAGATAGGGTGGGATAAGGTATACAGGTGTTAGATGGTGGTGGGATAAGGTATACAGGTGTTAGATAGGGTGGGATAAGGTATACAGGTGTTAGATGGGGTGGGATAAAGGTATACAGGTGTTAGATGGTGGGATGGGATAAGGTATACAGAGTGTGGTTACAGATGGTGAGTGGGATAAGGTATACAGGTGTTAGATGATGGTGGTGGGATAAGGTATACAGGTGTTAGATAGTGGTGGGATAAGGTATACAGGTGTTAGATGGAGGTGGGATAAGGTATACAGGTGTTAGATGGTAAAGAATGGGATAAAGTATACAGGTGTTAGATAGAGGTGGGATAAAGGTATACAGGTGTTAGATGGGGTGGGATAAGGTATACAGAGTGTTAGATGGGGTGGGATAAGGTATACAGGTGTTTGATAGATGGGGTGGTGGGAATAAGAGTATACAGGTGTTAGATATACAGGGTGGGATATAAGGTATACAGGTGTTAGATAGAGTGAGGGAATGGGATAAGGTATACAGGTGTTAGATGGTGGTGGGATAAGGTAGTATACAGGTGTTAGATGGTGGTGGGATAAAAGGTATACAGGTGTTAGATAGGGTGGGATAAAAGGTATACAGGTGTTAGATGGTGGTGGGATAAGGTATACAGGTGTTAGATGGTGGTGGGATAAAGGTATACAGGTGTTAGATGGGGTGGGATAAGGTATACAGGTGTTAGATGGGGTGGGATAAGGTATACAGGTGTTAGATGGTGGTGGGATAATGAAGTATATACAGGTGTGTAGATGGGGTGGGATAAGGTATACAGGTGTTAGATGGGGTGGGATAAAAGGTATACAGGTGTTAGATGGGGTGGGATAAGGTATACAGGTGTTAGATGGGTTAAGGATAAGGTGGGATAAGGTATACAGGTGTTAGATGGATGAAATACTATACAGGTGATAAAGTGGGGTTATATACAGGTGTTAGATAGGGTGGGATAAGGTATACAGGTGTTAGATGGGATGGGATAAAAGTATACAGGTGTTTGATGGGGTGGGATAAGGTATACAGGTGTTAGATGGGGTGGGATAAATACAGGTGTACAGGTGAGTGGGATAAAGGTACAGGTGTTAGATGGGAGGGTGGATATAAGTATACAGGTGTTAGATAGAGGTGGGATAAGGTATACAGGTGTTAGATGGTGGTGGGATAAAGATACAGGTATACAGGTGTTAGATAGTGGTGGGATAAAAGGTATACAGGTGTTAGATATACAGAGTGGGATGGGGCTGGATAAGGTATACAGGTGTTTAGGTGGGGTGGGATAAGGTATACAGGTGTTAGATGGGGTGGGATAAAGTATACAGGTGTTAGATGGGCTGGGATAAGGGGTATACAGGTATTAGGTGTTTGGTAGGTGGGATAAAGTATACAGTGTTTGGTGGAGTTGGGATAAGGTATACAGGTGTTTGGTGGAGCTGGGATGAAGTATACAGGTGTTTGGTGGGTTGGGATGAAGTATACAGGTGTTAGATGGGGTTGGGATAGAAGTATACAGGTGTTAGGTGGGGGTGGGATGAAGTATACAGGTGTTTGGGTTTATGGGTTGGGATAAAGTATACAGGTGTTTGGTGGGTGGGATGAAGTATACAGGTGTTTAGGTGGGGCTGGGATAAAGTATACAGGTGTTAGATGGAGGGTGGGATAAAGTATACAGGTGTTGGTGGGGCTGGGATAAAAGTATACAGGTGTTGGTGGGGCTGGGATAAAGTATACAGAGTGGTGGGGCTGGGAGTGAAGTGTACTGGGTGGATGAAAGATATGGGTGGTTTGGTGGGGCTGGGATAAAGTATACAGGTGTTGGTGGGGCTGGGATGAAAGTATACAGGTGTTAGGTGGGGGTGGGATAAAGTATACAGGTGTTAAGATGGGGCTGGGATAAAGTATACAGGTGTTTGGTATATACAGGGCTGGGATGAAGTATACAGGTGTAGTGTTTGAGATGGGGTGGGATAAAGTATACAGGTTTGTTTGGTATACAGGTTAATATACAGGTTTTGGTGGTATGGGGCTGGGATGAAGTATACAGGTGTTTAAAATGGTGGTGGGATGAAGTATACAAGGTGTTGGTGGAGCTGGGATAAAAGTATACAGGTGTTTGGTGGGGCTGGGATAAGTATATACAGGTGTTTGGTGGGGCTGGGATAAAGTATATACAGGTTTTGGTGGGGCTGGGTATACAGGAGTATAGAGGGTTTGGTGGGCTGGGAATAAGGTATACAGGTGTTAGATGGGATTGGTGGGATTTTGGTGCAGCTGGGATGTGAAGTATACAGAGTTTTGATTGGGGCTGGGATGAAGTATACAGGTTTACAGGATGAAATATACAGATTTTGGTGGGGCTGGGATGAAGTATACAGGTTTTGGTGGGGCTGGGATGAAGTATACAGGTTTTGGTGGGGCTGGGGTGAAGTATACAGGTTTTGGTGGGGCTGTATACAGGTTTTGGTGGGGCTGGGGTGAAGTATACAGGTTTTGGTGGGGCTGGGATGAAGTATACAGGTGTTTGGTGGGGCTGGGATGAAGTATACAGGTGTTTGGTGGGGCTGGGGTGAAGTATACAGGTTTATGGTGGGGCTGGGGTGAAGTATACAGGTTTTGGTGGGGCTGGGGTGAAGTATACAGGTTTTGGTGGGGCTGGGTTGAAGTATACAGGTTTTGGTGGGGCTGGGGTGAAGTATACAAGGTTTTGGTGGGGCTGGGATGAAATATACAGACTTTGGTGGGGCTGGGGTGAAGTATACAGATTTTGGTGGGGCTGGGGTGAAGTATACAGATTTTGGTGGGGCTGGGGTGAAGTATACAGGTTTTGGTGGAGCTGGGATGAAGTATACAGATTTTGGTGGGGCTGGGGTGAAGTATACAGGTTTTGGTGGGGCTGGGATGAAGTATACAGGTTTTGGTGGGGCTGGGGCGAAGTATACAGGTGTTTGGTGGAGCTGGGATGAAAGATACCGACTTTGGTGGGGCTGGGGTGAAGTATACAGGTTTTGGTGGGGCTGGGGTGAAGTATACAGGTGTTTGGTGTGGCTGGGGTGAAGTATACAGGTGTTTGGTGGGGCTGGGATGAAATATACAGGGAATACACATGGCTGGAAAAGACAGCAGGAAGGTGGCAGGGAGGAAGGTTACAGCACCGTCAGGTTTTGTAGCACCAAACACACTCTCTACCATCATTAAGAAGGTAGTTAGAGAAGAAGGGTGTGGTAGATAGGTAGATATTAGCTGTAGGAATATCTATATTCCAGACTGATAGTAAAGATGATTAATGTTATATCTCTGAGAAAAGGGTTATACTGACTTGCTAAACAGTTAATCCAAAGTTTCAAGAGTTAGCTATTGACGTCACACAGGTTAAAGTTGTGGAGCATTACAGGGTGAAAGTAACTTACCATATGCTATAGTTGAAAAACAGAAACAAGAGTACAAATGATAAAACAAGGCAATAATCTGCACATGCACAAACACAGGCAGGCATTCTATAGTGTGAACTATCCTCCACAGTGGTGTACAAGCCTCTAACAAAGCCATTCCCCATTCTTAATCCGCATCTCAACTCTAGTGAGGGGTCATCTCATTCATCCAACACACCCTGGCTCATCACCTCTACCTACCACTCACAGCCTGGCTCATCACCTGTACCTACCACTCACACCCTGGCTCATCACCTCTACCTACCACTCACAGCCTGGCTCATCACCTGTACCTACCACTCACAGCCTGGCTCATCACATGTACCTACCACTGTACCTACCACTCACACCTGGCTCATCACCTGTACACACCCTGGCTCATCACCTGTACCCACCACCACTCACACACCCTGGCTCATCACCTGTACCTACCACTCACACCCTGGCTCATCACCTGTACCTCACACTCACACCCTGGCTCATCACATGTACCTACCACTGTACCTACCACTCACACCCTGGTTCATCACCTGTACCTACCACTCACACCCTGGCTCATCACCTGTACCTACCACTCACCTACACTACACACTCCTTATTCTGAAGTGTAGGTTACAGGTATCATCTGTACCTGCCACTCACCTACACTACACTCTCCTTATTCTGAAGTGTAGGTTACAGGTATCATCTGTACCTGCCACTCACCTACACTCTCCTTACTGAAGTGTGGGTTACAGGTATCATATGTACCTCACCTATCATCTGTACCTGCCACTCACCTACACTACACTCTCCTTATTCTGAAGTGTAGGTTACAGGTATCATCTGTACCTGCCACTCACCTACACTACACTCTCCTTATTCTGAAGTGTAGGTTACAGGTATCATCTGTACCTGCCACTCACCTACACTACACTCTCCTTATTCTGAAGTGTAGGTTACAGGTATCATCTGTACCTGCCACTCACCTACACTACACTCTCCTTATTCTGAAGTGTAGGTTACAGGTATCATCTGTACCTGCCACTCACCTACACTACACACTCCTTATTCTGAAGTGTAGGTTACAGGTATCATCTGTACCTACCACTCACCTACACTACACACTCCTTATTCTGAAGTGTAGGTTACAGGTATCATCTGTACCTACCACTCACCTACACTACACTCAATACTTTAATATTCCATTACCCTCCAAACCCAATCCTCCCCTAACCCCAACATCTGTTGGAATAGTGACAACGAACTCAAGAGCTTGCTCTGGTCACCATACATACTGTGGAAGTACTTCATTCTTCCCAGCAACACTCCACCAACATACTGTGGAAGTACTTCATTCTTCCCAGCAACACTCCACCAACATACTGTGGAAGTACTTCATTCTTCCCAGCAACACTCCACCAACATACTGTGGAAGTACTTCATTCTTCCCAGCAACTTCATTCTCCACCAACATACTGTGGAAGTACTTCATTCTTCCCAGCAACACTCCACCAACATACTGTGGAAGTACTTCATTCTTCCCAGCAACGCTCCACCAACATACTGTGGAAGTACTTCATTCTTCCCAGCAACACTCCACCAACATACTGTGGAAGTACTTCATTCTTCCCAGCAACACTCCACCAACATACTGTGGAAGTACTTCATTCTTCCCAGCAACACTCCACCAACATACTGTGGAAGTACTTCATTCTTCCCAGCATACTCCACCAACATACTGTGGAAGTACTTCATTCTTCCCAGCAACGCTCCACCAACATACTGTGGAAGTACTTCATTCTTCCCAGCAACACTCCACCAACATCATAGCAAAGCTTGATTCAGTGCATCTATGTCAAAATTTGTTACCATGACTACCAGAAACAGGACACCACAAGCCTGTCACTGTGGTACAAGGACAAAACATGATTATAGGAGCAGACTGGGAGGACTGGACACATGGAGATTAGTCTCACCACCGTTAAATCATGCATATGTGTTTAAATGATGTGTGTGAGCTACAGTTCATGCAGACAGTAGTACATTATTGACACATGCAAGCTCAAGCACACATGCACTCACACACACCTACACACATCCCTACTCCCTCATATACACACATGCACTCACACAGCCCTACTGACAGTGTGACACACACACACATGCATGCACGCACACGCACATACACACACGCACACACACACACAGAGCCCTACTGACACATACATACATGCACACAGCCCATGCATCCACTCACGTGCACTGACTCAGCATGCATGCACACAGGGAGAACATGCACACTCTCCACTACTTATATACCGATACTTAGTGGAAACAATTGTTACATCAAGGTGGCAATATTCCCAGACAACGTTGCTATGAACTCCTCCAGCTTTGTCAACAAGTTAGTTCATATTGTCAATGGCCACAGTCAACAACGGTTAACAGTAAGAGCAACAATGCTCTGACACATTAGAATTCCAGTCTTCTCTCAGACACGGTGGACCCCACTTTGCATGGAAACATACACACAGGGAAAATCTTAAAACCCACACAGGAACCAGCAGTGGGTGCTGATGCAACAACAAAATGGTGATGAATGTGGAAATAATAGAGTGTGCCTCTAACAAATTACTGCCATGAACGTGACACAACCATGAAGTGCTTACAACAGTTGCAGTAAGTGCTTGGACGGTTGCTTGGCAGACAATGTACTCACCTGGTTGCGGCTTTGAGAAAGGACTTAATACTTTGCCTCCCTGATTCGATCTCTTCTTGCATACGCAGTAGACAATGATCCCAACGATGATCACCAGCAACAGCACGCCGATCACAATACCTGCCGTCCGTCCCGGGCTGCGAAACACGGCAAGCAATCATATATATATAGACAACAGTCTCACACATGTGGACAACAGTCTCACACATGTGGACAACAGCCTCTACATTGTAACGAAGGACTATTCACACGTTTTCTGATGAAACTGTCAGTGGCATGTTCTCGGTACATGTGACCCCGGATGCCACAGGTCTCATATGTATTGTTGTAGATGGCCGAAGACAACAACTTTTGATAAAACATCTCAGCCTATGATTTCCCGATGATGTGAAAGGATAAAAAGAGATACTATCATCACTGTGGGCAGGAAATGATGAAAACATACATGAACTTCATTAATCCAACAAGAAAGGCCCATCAATAATCATTTGCCATAGTATCTCTGTGACAGGGATCACCTGTATTAAAGTATAGGACAATTATTTTGTTTAGCTGACCAAAATGAAATGCCTTATTAAGTAAAACATTCTTCAATCAGTTCAGCTCATGATGCCCTGTTTGTATTCACCTGTCGAAATACTTGCAGCAGTATTCCCGGAGTTCAGGGCCACAGCAGTAGTCGAAGTCATCAGGTTCGAAGAAGCGTGGACAGTAGAAGAGGTTGTACACGGTGTTGTTGTCATCCGTCTCGTAGTTGTTGCGACATATGGTCGGCACTGGAAGAAAAGACCGAAACTAAGTACACCCTGTCATCCACCTCCTTCTAATATGTACTCTAATTAGCACAAGGGTGCAGTCTGCTGAACAGGTGCCCAACTAAATCGGCCGGTTAGAGAAACTGGAACAACATTTGAAACAACACAACTGTAGTCGAGAGAGAACTCACTCATCCATCATGTTTTGTATTTTTCATACATTTCAAAAGGTTCATTCATTGAGATGACAAAAGTATACATACTCCTGGTGGGGTGAGAGTGATAGCGTCGTGAACGGAGGTACCATGGGCCATGATAGATGGTCCCCAGCAGGAAGGCATTCTTCCACGTTGATCTGGTCAGCCCATACGAGCCTTTGTACATCCTGGAACTCCCTCGGTAGCGGATGCGCTGACGGACGCGGACACTGCCGTACCTGGCGGTGCCGTACCTGACTCGACCGTACCTGGTGCCAATCCTGTTCCTCACTCTCACTCTAGTGCCGTAACGGGCGCCGCTGTAACGGGTGCGGGAACTAAACCGTCCCCTGGCTGCATCTGCATCGTCAACTGAAGAGGAGAACAACATGCATGAAAACATTGTCATCATCAAGTAAAAGTGGAGACGGACAACTAAATTGTCAACTAAAGATCAAAACATTATCAACAATTTATTGATATATAGATAAGTTATAAATTTGGAAATTTTAATATAAATTGTATATTTATATATACTTATCCTATCCTATCCGACTTGCACCTCTCTCTCTTGCTTCGACTTTTAGTGGAACAACTGTAAACATTTTTCCAAAGGCCTCCTTGTCAATTCGCTCGTGCACTCCATGCTGCTCTCCTTAATTAGCTTCCTAGTTCCTAATAAAGCTTGCAGCATGCTCCACTAATTGCCCACGTGACTACCTTGAATGACATCCGTGACAGACAGGTCTCGCAGGTAATGTGAAGAGAAGACTGTATCAGAACGCCAGGAGCAACCATCCATGATAGCGGTCAAGGAGCAGTTGCTATTGAGGGTCATCGTCGAGGCTAGTGCACGAATCTCATGAGGATTGGAAGCGGCTGGAGGAGGCAACCCTGCAAAGGTGTAGGCTCGCAGGATCGTGATACGTACCAGAAGGCCAATATGGTCTGGGAAACCTCAGTTCTTGGAGCTTTCGACAAGGGTATGAAGAGGCGCTTCCATAGCCGTCGATGATCCTTGGAAGCAGCAAGGTAAACGTGTAGAGCCCTAACAGGGCAGAGTGTCAAATCTTCATTATCATCAGGCCCAAGAATGGTGGACAACAGGGGAATGGTAAACAACCGGTCAGTAGCCCTGGCAGTTAGTTTTTCGCAATGAAGTCCTAGCGGAGACCGAGAAAAGCCTTGCCATGCTTCTTCCGCTCCAACCGCACCCGATTGACATCAAGCGCATGCAGTTCAGATAAACGAGCAGCGGTAGCCAAAGCTACCAAGAAGAATGTCTTGAATGTCACTTGTTCGAAGTCACGGACAGATCCCAGCCCGGAGGTCTGAACTTCCTGGACTGGTCAGATTCAGGAACAATGGAAATCTTCGTGCCCGTGGTGGTAGCCAAAACCGAGTTGATGGCAGCTAAGTAGGTAGCTCACGTAGTACCCTTGAATTTCTTAGTAGTGCCGAGATGCTGGAGAAACTCAGCAACGACCTGAGCCGAGGTGGAAGTGGGAGATGCAATTCCCCTAAGCTTGCAATAGTCTTCAAACTTCTGCCACTTGTTGTCGTACAAGGAACGGTTCGAAGTACGATGCGCTGAAGTGATAGCTGTGGCTACTCAGCGAGAGTAGCCCTTAGCTATGAGAAACCTCTGAAGATGCGCCAAACGTGTAGATTGAGGGTCTGAGGTGACCCGTGGCACAGTTCCGAGTGAGGGTGGAGATCTAGGTCGTCCTGGTTGGGAAGCGGTACTGGGTTTGGCTCTGCCAAGCTTCTTAGGTTGACGAACCAACTTCTTGCTGGCCAGAAGGGTGCGACCAAAAGCAGTAGTATATTGCTGGTGGCCAATAGTTTCTGTATTACTTTTGGTAGCAGAGCTGGAGGGGGGAACGCATAGGCATTGAGACCCTCCCATGATATTGCCAACGCGTCGAGGTCCCACGCCAAGGAGTCTGGGATTGGTGATACAAACTTGGAAGTTGGTTGTTGAATCTTGTGGCAAACAGATCTATTTCAGGCCGTGATAACGGGTAGATCATCGACTGAAAGATCTGGGGCAGTAACTTCCACTCTGTCGGGGACGGTCGGTTGGATCGGGACATGGCATCGGCGATCACATTTTTTACCCTGGGAATGTGTCTGGCTCTGGCTACAATGTTAAGTGAGTCGATGAGATAGAAGAACCTGATGGCCTATTGTAGCAGATTTGCCGAGCCTGTCGAGCCTAGATGATATATATACCAAACCACTGTCGAATTGTCTGATTGCATCAACAGACTGGTTGATTAAGCTCTGTTGCCCGATGTGAGATGGCTTGAATTACTGCCTTGAATTCCAGCTTGTTTATATGAAGTACCCGTTTGTCGGATGAACACAGCCCGGGCCACTTGGTGGTCAAGGAAGTGAGCTCCCCAGCCCATGAGGGATGCATTGACGAATAGGTGATGAGTCGGTGCAAAGGGCATCATAGAGACTCCTGCGCAAACATTCCGTTCGTCGAGCCACCATTGAACGACTGGACGAAGCGGTTCTGGAAGGCAAATTAGTTCCTTGGGGTTGTCGGTCTGAAGGTACGGGCGTAGAAATCGCTGTATCGGCCGAAGTTGGAGCTGGCCTCTGTACGTTAATGCTTGAGCTGACGTCAGAAGGCCCAGTAGCTCCTGCCACTGTCGTAAGGTTCTTGCCTGAGACAGTCCTGGAGTAATGCATTGCTGAATCTTTATCCACCTGTCGTGAGGTACAAACATCATCCCCTGACGAGTGTCGAACAGTGCTCCGATGAATTGGAGTTTCTGAGTCAGTATTAGTTCCGATTTTCGCAATGTTCAACAGCCACCCTAACTGTCTGAGCAGCGTGGTGGTGAACTGTAGCTGGTGAAACAAAACGATTGGATCCTGTTGAGCCTGGATGCAATCGTCTATGTAGCTTCGAAGGTGATCCCTTGAAAGTGGAGGAAGCTCGTTATGGGCTTGGTAATTCGGGTAAAAAGCCAGGGGGTCGTGGAAATTCCGAATGGAAGGACTTTCCATTGGTAGTGATTCTCGTTGAACACGAAGCGAAGGTACTTCCAGTGTTCTGGATGTATTGGAATGTGAAGTCAAGCATCCTGAAGATCTAGGCTGATGAGGAAGTCTCCCTTCAGGATGGTGCGTAAAAGGTTGATCGACACCATCCTGAAGTGAGGCGGTGGAAGCAGGAATCGGGCATTGGACAACTTCATATTGAAGATGAGCCGGAGTTTGTTGGAATTTTTCCTTGGAACCAAGAAGATGGGTGAGTAGAATCCTGGAGTGACGGGCGATGGACCTAGGAGCTCCTTCGCAAGTTTGTCTAATAGCGTACCTATTTTGGATTGCAGAGTCTGAAGCTGGTCCACAGGATATGAGCGATGAGCCGGATGCGATGTCAGAGGCGGACTGCCAATAACGGGTAGCTGATTGCCGTGAAGTAGCAGGTTGGTGATGTACGCATCTTTGAGGATGGTCCAATTCGGGGCGGAGATCTGCAATCTCCCGCCTACTGGAGTGTTGTAAATCGGAAAGACTGGGGGTGGGAGGTTCTAATCGTGTGATTGTCTCAAGCCGTCACTGCTTCCCGACACTGGTCCCTGGCCCAGAGTTGGTCCTGGGAGGGCGACAGGAGGAACCATCACGGCCAGATCTGTTTCCTCTGCCCCGGCATTGAGTGGATGCACTACGAAAAAGATTGCGTAAATCCGGATTGGTAGGGGTGAACTGTGCAGTTTGACGCTGTTTTAATGAGTCCTGGAGCTGTGACTTCTGTATCTTTAACAGTTCAATCGAGACTTGAAAGTGGGTTTCTTTATCAACTTTATTAAGATACTTCTTGGGTGCTACCATTGAAGAGGGAGTCAGTAAACCAAGGCTGGCGAAACAGTTCTGTTCCTCCCATGAAGAGATGTTAAGGGGTCCACTTCGGCGAACAGCAAGAGTGTTGCCCAAAAAATGAGACAACTGATCCAGGATAATTTGGAACTGGTCCAGAGCTAAAGTCATGCATCCTCGGATGTAAGCGTCTTGATCAGAGTAAGTATGCTCCAGCGCAGTGTTAACAGCGTCGACTGCTGCAATAACGCAACTAATAGATGGCAACGTCTTTCTCACGGCTGAACCCATGTGAGCCAACTCCCGCCCTTCCTCAATAAGGTAGGGTGAAGCAGCTCGTTTGCCACACAGGGTTCCAATATCCTCATCAACTGTTGGAGCCGTAGAGATTTTTGTTAGGCCGTGGACATGAGAGGTAGAAGGATTACATCTGGGAGCAGAGAATCTGTCCTTAATTCGTTTCAGGCTCTTGAAACCATCATTTAGTGTACTGGATAATTTCAGAATACAAGGTCGAGGTGGTAGGGTGATGGTAGACCAATCCTGGTTCCTAAGATTATAAGAGTGATCCAGGTCATCTGCTGAAGTACTCGAGGGGAAGTTGGAGCTTCTCAACAATCCAAAGGAGTACCGTCTTCATGCCTTTTTTACAAAATGGTTATGATCTATAATTTCTATCAATGGATAGTCTTCTTCCTTCATTTACTTTTAAATCTAATAGCCCCAATCTAAATTTTACAAGTAGCAGTCTCAGATTCTTTGTAGTCACGATGGATAAATATCTTTCTGGTTCTAAAAGGGACTTAAACTGTCTGTAACAATCAAAACGGGAGCTTTCTTCTAACCTTGAGTGCCATTCTTATTGAAAAATACATATACAGCGATCTTTAAACTGCTACAAGATAACTCAGAGTGAGCGGGAGATGCCAGGCTATTTGGACTGGATCAATCTCAGGAGGTGGACCAGATGAAGAGCCAGGAGCTACCGAAGTCGGATGGGCTGGAGTAGACAGCTGTATTTGGTTCGAGGCTGAGGTTATGGCCATGATCATCATATTTAGACCAGGAGTCGCTGTAGGAGTGGGATTGTTATCAGGTACACATAACTCAGCGATGATCCTAGAGTGAGTCGAAGGATTCTTAGAGCGTGTAGACGGAACATCGTAAGAGACTGTAGGGCTGTTAGTGGTATCAGAGCAATGATCACCCGAACATCGGTCAGAGGAACTGTATCAAGATCTCGACGTGGTAAGTACCGAAGTAGGTTGGTAAGCCGGTGATCTGGATTCCCTAGTATGGCTAGGTGATCCGGTGTGATATGAAGAACTAGTCTGCGTCGCTGTAGTTCTAGTTGGTGATCTGGTTCTGATTGGAGCTCTGGTTCGACCACCTGAATAGGATCGGCCATGAGAAGTGGATCTGTACTGTGATCCCGATAGGTCAATAGCTCTGTAAGGTGATCTAGATCGTATAGGTGGCCTGGATTGGTAAGATGATCTGGATTTGTAAAGTGATCTAGATCAATTCGATGC